GAGACTACCTTCCACGTCTGTGGCTGCGTAAAACTGGTCCATTCTCCATCCTTACTTCTACTCTTCTGGATTCCTCTCACAGAGGATGCTATGCCACTAGAAAAGGTCCTGTACAGCCCAGTGAAGCTGTAGAGTCAGAGTGAAGGGACTGGGAGATCACTGGCTTGTAGCTCAGGATGCCAGAAGCCATGGAACTGGGTCTGACACTTAGGGCTGGCGCTAGAGCAAGGTGCACCAGGGGACAGGGAGCTAGCGCAGGAGCCTGGCACACCACAGGCACTGCACTAAACACTGAACCAGTAAAACATCTGTATGTCTTCTCTCTGGCTGCCACCCCCAAATCCTTTCCTAACCAGTGTACTAGACTCCGTGGGACCCTTTTCTGAGGGAGGAGGAATCAGGCTTCAGCCCGGCTGAAGGAGAAAGGGACAGTGTTACCCACTAGCCCTCAAGCTCTCCAGCTCCACTCAGGAGTGGTGGCTAACCCCCCCTCTCAGACCCCAGAGATCCCCGGTACTGAGCATCCCAGGGAAGGAGATGGTCCACCCCAGGACCTTGCTTCTCTCTCCTGGTTACTATTCTCTGTGAGCCTTCCCTCTAACTTACATCTGGAGAGCTGGGGTCTGAGGTCCAAAGGGGCTTACCTCCCTCCCTGAGTCCATGTTCTAAGGGCAGCCAAGAACAGCCTTGTAAACCAGGGAAAACAATTAGGAGCAATTAGCATCAAGAGAGGCTGGGGTGAGGGGGCCAGCCGGCTGTGAGAAGCTGTGAGAAGCGGTGGAACAGATTTGGGGAGGAGCAGAGGGGGTCGGGGTGGGGAAGACCTGAGAGGGGACTGCTTTTCATTCCCAGTTAGAGGCTTGGGATTCCTCCCCCAGTTAGCTCCTTGAATAAAACTTTCCTCCCAAGGCCAGGGGGTCTAGCATGGTGGGTGGGACTGGAAGACAGAGGGAGGGCCCTGGGCTCCACATTCCTGAGATTCTCAAACCAGGGCAGAGGCAACTCCACACTGACAATGAGTGGGGCAGAGGTGAAAACACAGGACGGAGCACTAGAAATGTCTCCAGGGTTTGGTTTCGTCTGTGTGTGTGTGTGTGTGTGTGTGTGTGTGTGTGTGTATGGTCTCCCTACCTAGCACAAACCTTGCCTTCCTCCCAAGTCCGTGAGGACAGATAAGCCGACCCCCTCCCCCGGCAGCCCTAAGTCATCAACCTCCATCCTTAGGCTTGTCTTTCCTCCGTTGGATGAGATCAAAGAGAAATCCTGGCTAGGTAGAGAAGAGGACAGTGGCACTCAGGGAAGGTGGACAAAAACCCTCGTACCACTCGTCTGCAGAAGCCAAAGAGACATGAGTCCAAAGGTGGAGGGACCAACCTGTCCCTTTACCATCCCAAACTAAGGTGAGAGCCTGAGTGAGGATCCAGGCTGTTTCCCAGAGGGGAGGACTGAGGGGACCCCATTAAAGACTCTCTGCCTGGGTTCCAGCTTCTATAGAGCTAGTGGCAAGAGGTCAGGTGTTTCTCTAGTGAGCACGAACCAGCTCCAAGGAAGCAGCAGACTGCAGCACTTCCAGGGCTCTGCAGTTACCTGCTTTGGCTTGGAAGATGATTCGAAGACTCTGGGCAGGTCATCAACGTCTGTGCTCTGGGTTTTCATTAAGTGATGCCACAGGTGTGTGAGGAGCAGTGAGCACTGCACATGGAGTGTGAGGCATGCAGGGATGAGAGCAGGGCCTTCACTCTTAGTGTCAGCGTGCTATCAGAACTATCAGGAAATGGCTTTAGCTGGTAGGTAGAGAGGAAACTTGAAGCCAGACACGGTAGCAGACAGGAAACAGGAAGAACTTAGATGAGGGCCAGTTCAGCACTTGGGAGGCTGAGAGAGAGGAGAGAGAGGAAGAGAGGCCAGAGCAAGTGTGGTATACATGGTGAGTTCCAGATCAGCCAGAGCTACATAGTGAGACCCTTTCTCCAAAATAAATAGAGTCACAGTTCTTAGATGGAAGGCAAGAAGAGGTGGAGGCACAGACTATACATTCAGGAGAATGAGAAGAATCAAAAGGCTTGGCTATACTGTGAGACTATCTCAAAACAAACCCATGGGGCTGGAGGGATGGCCTGGCAGTTAAAAGACTAGCTAAGCTACTCTTCCAGGGGACCCAGATTCCCAGCCTCCATGTGGTGGCTCACAGCTGACTGTCACTCTAGTTCCAGGGGAATCGGATGCCCTTTTCAGGCCTCTTCAGACAAGACACAGACATATATGCCTGCAAAACACCCATGTACATAAAACCAAAATAAATACATTTAAAAAAGCATAAAACATGAGTGGAAAAGAAAAAAGGCCAGTTGTGATATACACTCGAGAGACAGGATCATGAGTTCAAGAGCATCCTTGGCTGCGTAACAAATTCGAGGCCAGCCTGAATTACACAAAACTGTCTCTTTCAATCGACACACAACCTGGAGATGTCAGTAACAGCACTCCATTCATTCCTTCAGTCTGTCTGTCTTTCCGTTGTTGTACACACCTGGATGACTACACATTTTAGCATGAGGTGCTTAGCACAGATCAGTAACTAATGCCACGCCCAGGTGCTGTAACGGGGAGGAGAGACATGTGGGTGGAGAAGCTACTGACTTTGGAGCTGGGTATTCCAACAGGAAGGGGAAGCAGTGAGGGCGAAGAATATTTGGCCTGTTAAGACAACAGGAGCAGGAGGCCAGTGTGGTAACGCCATGCAGCACGGGAGAGGGGCAGGAGGTTCTGAGCCAAACGGAGGGTCTGCCAGGCTACGACAGAAACAGGCAACTCTCTGCAATGGCTGAGAAAGTACATGTACACGGTAGATGAGGACATAAATGTTTCTCACAGGTCTGAGAAGTATCTGGTACACAAACAGCAAGCAGCCCTCCCTTTTCCTTTGGAACTTTCTGCAGAGCCATGACCAGAGTAGCACCCAGGAGTAGCTGGGGAGAGGATGTCTTTTGTGGACATGGATGCAGGTCCTACTCTGATAACAGTCTCCTTTTTTTGGTGTCAGGTAGAGAAGGGTCAGACAACTGCCAACTGTTTATATAAACCATTCAATATGGTTTAAAAGTTTCTCTCCTCACTCCAGAAATTAGGAGAGGTTTGAAAAAAAAAAATCTTAATCATGCCTAAAAAACACAGAGTTCAAAAATCTGTGCAGACACGTCCTGGGCCCTTCTAGCCCGATCTCCTCACCCAACAGACAAACATTTCTCCGGCGAGGCTGTCAGCTGTTCTGATTTCTTACTTTCACTCTTATGAGCGTGATGTACCAGAAGCATTTAGTAGAGGTAATATGGTGAGAAAGGGGGCAGGAAGGCAGCGAGACAAGGGTGCAGTTAGCAGAGTCGGTTGGAGTCTGACTGGTGCACTTGGCTTCAAGAGAGCTAGCTCCCTGGCAGCCTCTGCAGACAAGTTTGGTTTTTAAAAGTACCAGAAAGCCACAGATTTGCATGTTATTTGTGTTCCAGGCTTCACTTCCAGGTATGTGGAATAAAATGAATGAATGAACAGTATTCAGTCTCTTGGTTAAGGGGTGGATTCAGAAATCCAGACCATAATGAGGATCCAGTCACTGTATAGTTTGGATCAGCAGGGTTTTTTTTTTGGGGGGGGTAATTTATGTTAAAAATATATATATATTTATATTTTATACTCATATAAATGAGGAGATAGAATAGTCTCAGAGATACACAAATACATTATTGAGTCCAGGGAGTTCCCAGTCAAAGCACAGAAGCAAAATCCACAGAATTTATTTTAAATAAATCAATTAAAAAAAAAAAAAAACCTAAGGAGTCACAGATACAGATGGAGGCCACATCAGCCCTGACACATGTTCACCTTGGTCCTTTCCTCACTCCAGCTTCCTTCTCAACTATGTGCTAATGAGCCTGTGTTCTTTCTTGACAAGGTGTATCTGTGTTTGCTTAGCCTTCCAAATCAGGCAAACTATAAACTTACAGACTAAGACCTTGAGGACAAGGTGGCTTTTACTTCCTTTGTTAAACCATCTTTCTCACCCTCCAGGGATCCCAAGTCCAGTGCTTGACCTCACACTTATGAAATCCTCAGAGAGGATTCCCTGTGAGTTTGAGGGAAGGCAAGTGCCTTTATAGGACAAGATGAAGAGAAAGGAATCCATCGTCTGAATGTGCAAAGGATATTCCTGTCAAAAAAAAAAAAAGACGGAGGAGGAACCTACCTAAAGGGTTAAAAAGATGTTCTAGATAAGCCTCTTGGGGTATAGCCTGAGAGCTCCAAATGGCAACATGCCGAGGAAGGTGTTTCTGTTAAAGGCCAAGAGGAGGCATGTTTGAGATCAGAACGAATGCTCTGGGCCTATGTTTGGAAGTTATGAAAAATAATCAATTTTCACACCACTATTCTTAAGAAATGTTTCAGAGAATGAGCCCTGCCTTGTTCTTTATAGACTAGAATACAGATGCTGGCACTCTTGGCTAGAAGAGCAGTACCAACCCAGTCTCCTGGACTTGGCAGTTCCATGTTTTGGGCCCCCCCCCCAACACCCCAGCACCATGAGAAAGGCAGATGACAAGACAAACAGGGAAGTTAGGTCATTCTGTCATTAGGACTACAGATGGTGTGACTAGGGAGAGCTCTAAATCAGATTTGGGTGCACACACCTAGTGGGTCCTTACAAAAGGACTAGACTGACTGTGCCTGAGGAGAACGGAGCCTGTGCTCTTGGGCACCGCCTCCCATGTTGGCTCTGTCAAGGATAAGGCAGCCTGTAGCACTCATCAAGTGTCAGCAATTGTTCCTCAGCGCAGACAGAAGCCCAGCCTACATCTAGGCATGCAGGATTTAGCAAGGCTCTCATGTAGCCTTAATTCTACAACCATGGCAGTGCTGGTGCTGACCCTCAACATTAACTTAAGGCATCTTACTCCACCTAGCATCGGGCATGCAGGTAGAATAAGGAAAACAACAAACAAACAATAAAATGTTAGTCATTCTTTACTCTGACCTTCTTTCAGAGCTTGGAGGATGGCACAGAAAGATCAGAGGTTAAGATCAAACACAAAGCAGCTCTCTAGTGAACCCTTCTTCTCTCTCCATCCAGAGTGATTGATCGTACCATGGGTGTATAAAACCAGGTGGTGTGATGGGCAGGCTGTGAGATGGGGTGGGTGGGAACGTCCTGCTGGGTCATCTGCTGTCCCCTTGGATCACTAAACGCTAAAGCAGTGCTGAGGGCAGTCTAAAGAGTGGGAGGAAGTACTCCTCACACAGAAGAGTGAACTGACAGCGAGTCTCTAGGTTGTCTATGGAAAAGTACCACGCTGAACCCTACACAGGACTCTTGGGAGTCACAGTGAGTCTCAAGTGATCAACCGGATGTAGCCAGTTTCCATGTATCATGGCATACATTCTCAAAAGAGCAGAAGCAGCCTCTTTTTCTCTGTGCACACTCCAGGATGACTGCTGGGTTGTGGATTTTTGTTGAAGAGTATGCAACTGCCATGTAATGCTTCTCATCCTTCAACTATTCTCTTTACAGGGAGATGGCTATCAGCATGGAACACAGGGAAAGGGACAGAGAAGGAAAACAACAGGCATATTCTGCTTAAAGCCGGTCAAACAGGATACTAGTAGCATACCCTTGGCAATGAAATACACAAGCAGCTTCAGTCTTGGTCCTCAAAGGCCTCTCTTGAACTGAGGACATTTCCAGACACTTGTCCTGCTCCTGTTATCTGGCTAAGAAGGGCCGACTATAAAGTCTATACCTGGTTCCCATTAAGCCGCCTGTCACACTCTGACTTATTCCTGTTACCCCTGGATGGACAGCAGTCTTAGGTTCAGTAGCTTTTAACTGGTACACTTAAACTGCATTGGAGAAAGGGAGCTAGCTTCAGACTGGCTCAAAAATTCTATATCTTTTACAAAGTGCTTTTGTCGCATGTCTCATATTCTGCTATTCATGGCCAAAAATATTGGTTGCTTTGGTCCATACAAAAAGTCTCTGAGGAAGAAAAACAGATATTATCTAAAGAAACAAACAATAAACACAGAAAACCATCTTGTGATGAGCCCCAGATAATAGTGAGAAGAGTCTGAGAAGCTTGTCTTTAAGTAGTCCAAACTGCCACTGTGTAAGCTGTCACTTAAATACAGTAAGTACCAAGAATCAGACAACATTCTCCAGTCCTGGGCTGAGTCTGCATGCCAGTTTTCTAAGAGAGAACGTAAAAGGGCCCAGCAACTCATATATAGAAAGCTATTTATTTCCTATGGAAAATCAAGAGAAAAGAAAGGGAGGAAGAGTGAGGAAGGAGAAGCAGCTAGAGAAAGAAACACCAATGTACAGAGGGCCCTCGTCCCCCAACATGCAGGGCGGGAGGGAGCAAGAGGGGCACAGGCTGCTGGAGTGGAGACAGTAACATTCATTTAACAATGGAGTAGTAAAAAAAATAGCTGTTGTTGTTTTCAAATTGTAACTTGTGGTAAAACATAGAAAAATGTACTAAACACGCTTGGTATAAAACAGAGTAAAATGTTCCAATAAGCCCAAGGAGAGAGAGCACAGTGCTGGCAGGGCCGGGGCACGGGAGCGGGGGGAAGACTGCATAGAAAACTACTGGTCACCATACAGAAAGTAGAAAACGTCCCTGTTGTGGAACTTAAGTACAAAACGACACTGGCACTGCAAAGTCACCTCCCCACCTCCCCTCAGGAGCTCTGCGAGAGTGGCAGAGGGGCTGAACGACAGAAGAGCGAGCAGTTTAAAAACCTCCGGCTCATCAGTCGAAGCTCCCCACTGTCCCCCGTCCCCCAGCCATTTACCTAGATAACCTTGATAACCTTTTACTCCTACACCAGACTCTTCCAGGTCTCAAAATACTCTTAGGATATCTACAAACGCCCGATACACAGGGCTTGCTGGGATCGATGTGTGCTGGAATTTCAAAGATGAAAATAAACCTACAGACTAAATGGTGAGCACATTCAGTCTTTTTTTTTCTTTTAAAAGCATATCCTTGTGAAATATATATTTCACATTGTGTGTGTATATGTATGTATATATATACACACATATAGGTATATGTGTATATAAAATTCTCTGTGGTTAGAAACATATTTAAACTAACTAGCCACAGACCACCTAGACCTGTATTCATCCAACTCTGGTACGTGACGCTAACCGCTGAGTCCTTCTCCCTGGTCAGAAGAGGGCAGCAGTGAAGCTGGGCCCGGCTGCTGCACTCGAGACCTCTGGCTGGATCCTCCCACAGCATGTGTGTGCACGCACATGCAACCCTGCTCGTGAGGAAAGGACTGCTTGAGACTTTACGGTCTGCCAGGGCTTGTGCAGTGTGCTCAGGATGGGACGACTGTACCAGTGAGGAAACAGCTTTGAGGAGAAGCAGCTGGTTTCATGGAGGATACATAAATAGGACAGTTCTGGAGGAGGGGACTTAAGCTTGTGCCTCAGAGTCCAGTTTACAGTTCCTTTCCTGACTCTGCATCTTGGGGATCATGTGTGTGACGACGTGCTGGTGGTTTTATCCCTACCTGCTGCCCATGCCCTTCCCTACTTCTCGGTAAGGCCTAGCAACAAGAATTTATATGAAACCAAGATTCTTCCCGAGTTTTCCTTGGACTCCTAATGAGGGACTCAGTGAGGCTGGAGCCCTTGGAAAACAAGATAGCAGAGCTGAAGTGAAAAGCAGTCTCTCTCTTCAGGAGGGATGTCCCTCACCCCTTTCACAGCACCAAAGTTTCTTTGCAAAAATAGTATCTGAGATACAAAAGGAAAGGCAGATGTGCTTGTGAATGCATCTTGCCTGGTCTGGTCCAGGATCAAGGGCTGTACAAGAACAGGGGGTTAGGAGCAGCTGTTTCCAAGGTCTCTGGCTGTCGATGGCAAAGGCTGGTCCCCCACACACTCAGTGTCTGCTGAGACAGTCTTCACAAGAGCTTCCGGTGGAGGATCTCCCAGACCATCCGCTTCCGGAAATATGGCATGTGTTGCTGTAGGGACACAGACAGACCTTAAGTTTTCAATTACCAGACTTGGTGATGTCTCTGAGCTTTCAAACTGCTTGCTCATCTTTGGTCACACTGCCTTTTCTTTCACTGCCTCTTTCTACTACAATTTTCATTCTATGCCCTTAACAAGTTGTAGTAGATACCATCTCGAATCTCCAGGCCAGTCCCAAGTGACTCCAAGAATTTTGAGAATGGTTTCTATCATGTTTACAAAGAGATTAAGGCCAAAAAATGAAAAGTACTTTATTGGAGAAGTAGTAAGAGAACTTCAAATGATGTCTCAGTTTGGTCTAAATCTCAGCATCTTAATTTTTACTATTTATCCTTGGCTAGCCTGAAACTCTTTGTAAACCGAGATTCCCTCTAACTCACAGAGACAGGCCTGCTTCTGAGTGCTAGTATTAAAGTGATGTGTGCCACCACACCTAGTTTTTTCAAGGGTTTTCTTAAACTCTGGGCTGTGACCCCACATGGGCATCTGAATTTGTTTTTTTAAAAAGGGCTATTTATTTAATGTATATGAGTGCTCTGTTTTCATGCACACCAAGAAAAGGAATCAGATTCCATTATAGACGGTCGTGAGCCACCATGTGGCTGTTGGGAATTGAACTCAGGACTTCTGGAGGAGCAGCCAGTGGGCCATCTCTCCAACCCAGGCATCTGAATTTGTAACTGAATATGGCACTCTGAAAAATCCGAGAACAGTAAAAGGTTTTTGAACACACCACTCCAGAAATTAACACAGGCTCAAACGTATAATGAATCCAAGGTGCATGACTTCGCTGAAGGCCTGACTCAGTATACAAAGCATACTTCACACTGTGTGACACACAGAACGCCAGTTGATGCTGCTACAAACACCCCTGTTCAGATTTTAGACCACTGTACATTATGAACGGCAGCCTTTCTACTTATACATAACACTTTCTGCTTTGACAGAAACAAAACAGTTTAATTATGAAAACCAGAATTTTAGTACCTTTCTACCATCACTCCTCAGCATGTGACATTAAACTGGCCTACCTATGATGATGTAAGTTTTGTCCTTGGGACTCATGGTAGAAAGAGAAGCAATTCCTATAACTGTCTTCTGACCTCCACATGGATGGATTCCTATCCTACACTACTGGGCACCAACACTCTCAGCATTGCTGACTGTGAAACCAAACTGTCAGCCAGTCTGGAGGACAATGAGGATGTGCTACATCCTGTAACATTACAGCGTCAGCCAAACTCAAGTCTCCTTGCAAAACCAAAACCATCTATTTCATTTGTGTACAAACTCGCTTTTGTCTTTAACCAACTGTAAAATTACATGTATACCAGAGAACAGTTTTAAAGTAATTTCTTTGTGTTATTATCAGTATATGTCTCACTATCTATTTAATATATGTATATATCTAGGGCAATGAGGGCAAGGTAAAAACTTTTTGGATGAAGACAAATGGTAAGTTTTATTCCTTTTTAAAGACTCCTTCCTTTTTTTCTGTACGAATGCTTTCCTTGCATGTATGTCAGAGTTCCATGTGCATTCCATGGTATCTGTGGAAGCCAGAAGAGGGTGGTGGATCTCCTAAAAGTCTAGTTATCCACGGCTGTATAGGCCATGTGGGTGCTAGGAATTGAACCCAGTCCTCTGCAAGAGCAGCAAGTGCTCTTAAACCACTGAGCATCTTTCAAACCTCAGCAAGAGGAAAACGTTTAAGAAGCTCTGGTTCAGACAAAATCTAGACAGGACACTGATTCCAACAGAAGCAAAAGAGGAAAACATATCAGGATAAGCTGTAATTTGAAGTCTCAATCCTCTTGGGTTCAGGATGATATCTAGAAAAATGACCAACTAACTGCTGAGATAAAACTGACCAGTGGCATTGACAAAGGGGACACAGAAGGGAGTGTACAACAAAGTACATGAGGAGATTTACTTAGGTCTATTCCAAAACCTAAATGCTAAATTGAGGGGACCTGAAGAAGGCCTCCTCTGGTTCCAGTTTTGCGTTTCCTATAAGGTTAGAAGTAGGTGGAGGAGATGGACAGACAATATAGCTTTCTTCTTAACCCAAGACTCAGTCACTAACATATGTGACAATGGTGACCTGGGGTGTGGACCAACATGGTCTCCTTCTGTGTAGTGTATGAGACTCAGCCTGAAGTATGTAAAGGTCCGGGCAGAGGCTCCACAGCACAGGCAGAAGGCCCACCTCACCTGTGTGAAGTTGATTGGTCTGTCTTTGGTAATACAGTCAGCGTATTTGCAAGCAAACATCCCACAGTCACTTCCATTCATCTGCTGTGGGATTTCCTAAAAGACCAATAACACGATATTTTTGCAAACATCTTTATCAATTTTACACCATTTCCCTAAATTCTCAACATATGACTTTGGGTTTCCTATTTAAGACAATAAAGAAAAGTCTGAGGAGGAGGGTGGTTTAAAAAATGTGGCACTTTAGTCCCACCTTTGTGTTTTAATTTCATACTGATCAGGCAGAGGACTATCTCAGGTTTTCATGGCACCCAAGGGTATTGAAACTGGTCCTTCTGTTCAGCATCAAATAGTCAACAAGTATTTTTCAAAGGAGTAAAAATCTCAGCAGAACAGCTCAGCATTTAGAAAACAGTTTTACACAAGAAACACATCATGAGCTTCCCCACAAATAATTCATTTTCCTTGAGAAACCTGAGAAAGCTGAAGTCAGGCTAGACTCTAAGTTAGAAATTCCATGGGAATCAGGCAGCAACTAAAACCCTCTCCACCTCACACACCCCAGATCTAAAGATTTCTATGACATCAAGGTGAAACATACCTGGCTTTTCTTGCTGAAGAGCTGCCAGCCATTGGTGTCAAACTCCTTCCTTTTCTTGTCAACACTTTCTTGTTTTAGGTATTGCCTAAAGACATCAGAAGAGACCCAGGTGAGCTGTGTGCAGCTGGACGGCAGCTGCCACTCAGAGAATGGGGCTGGCACTCCTCAGAAGACAACCCTTAACACTTCCACAAGCAGCCCATTCTGCCAACCTGCCAGGAGCGACAGGACCTCTGCTTCTGATATTCCTGATAGGTTATATTCTTTCTAAAGTCACAGCTAGGTAGGAACTAATCTTCCTAAGGAACATTTAAAAACATTTTTTTCTTGATTTGTATGGTCCTTTCCTTTTCGAGTTATCAACCTAATGGATAACTTTTTATTAAATTATATATATATATATAATTTAAAATGTCTCAAGCAGTATCAGGGTATGTATTTTAATATTTGTAGGGTAGGATCTTTTTGTAAAAGTTCAACCCAAACCAACAATTTAACAAGTACAAATTCACACCAGGCAGTGGTGGCACACGCCTTAAACCCCAGCCCTTGGGAGGGAGGTAGATCTCTTGAGTTTGAGGCAGGCCTAGTCTACTACAGGAAGAGTTCCAGGACAGCCAGAGCTACAAAGAGAAAACCTGTCTCAAAAACACAAACAAAACAGTACAAATTCACACAGACGACTCCTGCTCAATTTTCATGTATATGTGTTGTGGTGTGCATGTGTGTGATGTGTGCATATGTTGACACACTCGTGGGCATGAGTGTGTGTACTGTGTGCATTTGGAGGTCTGAGGTCAGCACCAGGAGTTAACCTTGGTCACTACTCAACCTTACTCATTTCAGCAGGGTCTCTCAATCAAATTCAGAGCTCACTGATACTACTAGTCTTGCTAGCCAGTTTGCTCTGGGGATCTTTGTCGCTACCTCCCAAGGCTGGAGTTAAGTGGGAACCATGCACACACATAGCATTTATGTGAGCCCTAGAGGTCCAGACTGTGGTTCTTGTGCTTGTGCAGCAAGCCCTTTAGCCTCTGAGCCTCTCCCTAGCCAAGAGCACGCTTCTGAAGTAGTAGATGTTCACTTTTTAGGAACTTACTCCCCCTTGCCATGTATTAGTTGCAGAGCAAAGAACAGGTGTTTTACAGAGAAGCAAATGATGAGTAAGAGATTTGCATTCTGATTTCCAGGTGAATTACTGAGTAGTAAGACCACAGCAAAGTCACCTCTGAGGGACTTTTTCATCTAAAATTTCAAAAAGCTGAATTAAATGAGTTCTGCTGACTGTATTTCTATGTATATAACTACTCTATATTTCAGTGTGCCAAGACAGTAATTACCCTCATTAATACATATTGTAGTATTTAAAATATGCATTTATACTTCCTGTCTCTGAAGGCCTCAGATAATGTGTCTGACTGCTGGAGAGACAGGAAGCAATGACCATTTCTTCTGTCCTCAGTGTGCACTTACAAGAGGATCCTGCAGGCCTCATTGTTTATTCCTCCCATAGAATCATAGTAGGTGACACTCTTCTTCCGGAAGTCTACAACCTGGAACAAGACAAAACAGTGAAGACACTAACGTATCATCAGCTTCTCCTCCCTTGGCCCTGGACCTTTCCCTAGACTTTCTGTGAAGTTGTGAGCAGTCTGGTGAATGGTTTGCATTATATTATACTGAAGAACAAGTAGATCATGCATGTAGAGCGGTGCTGGGGGATGATCAATTAGTGCCTATTCACTGTCCTAACATCTTTTTCTGCATGTCTGTTTCTCCATGATCATGATTCAAAGACTCATGATACATGATTCAAAGAAAATTAACTATAAGATCATTTCCACAGTTTAAGAAAGATGGTGATAAGATTCTGGGTTTGTCTTTACCTTACTTCCTTTCTGGATTGATATCTTTTAAATGTAATTCAAAAACAGAATACCCAATAACTCTTATTAACATTAAACGGATGCATCCATGCTTCCAGAGCTAAATCCCCACATGCTCAAGGCAAGTCACAGATAGGTAGGAAGTAGCATCTGTAGCTGGAGCTGTGGCATCACAAACATGCTTGTTCCTTTGTCTCAGCTGAGGCAGCTGGATGAGCTGTAACTTCCAAATCTCAGCATCTCCTACTCTAAATAGGAAATTCATTGGTTTACCTGATTGTTAGCCAAGTCATCACTATTAAATTCTACCTTTATTATAACCAAGCAAAGATATAGAACAAATGACCCTCTATGTTGGCAAATGTAGATTTTTTCTTTTCATGTCATCAGAAATAAAGGAGTTACTCACAGCTAGACACCAGTGCACACCCAAGTGAATGGGCACCAGAAGAATGTCAACAGAAAACACATCCACTTTCTTTGTCCAACGTTTCACTGCCTGATAACCAGCTGTTTTTAGCTTAGTGAAGAAGAAGGTATTAAATGCATGCACACTTGGAAACCCTTTCTCTTTACTGCGCTCCATTAGCATGTTCATGTAGAAATTGATGACCTGCAGGAAGACATTACACATTAGAACAGTCCAAACAGTAGCACAGCAGGGAAGAGCAGCTGGTCCACTGAGTAATTAGTATGTCATGAACATGTTTATTATGCATTGGATGGCAACCAACTCAATGCTTCAACAGATAATTTTAAAATATCCAGTTTTTCCTTAATATAAAGATTTTATTAATCATACTTCTTAAGTATCACACAACTAAGTTAATTAACTACTGGAAACCAGGACAGATAAGCAGATGCTATCCAGACTAGAAGAAAACAGGAGGGGAAGAGAAAGATGAGGGTCAGAGGTGGAGAGGAGGAGTCCAGTGGGAGCTAGTTGAGTGTTTCTGCTGAGCAAGTGGGTCCTGGGCTCAGGTCTTCTTCTCCCTCTGCCCTTTTCTCCTTTCTCTCCCTCCCTGACATTTTCCATCTCCTTCCTTCTCACTGTCTGTGTTGAGACAGGGCCTCACTCTGTAGCAGACTGTCCTAAACTCACTATAAGGCCCAAGCTAGCCTCAAACCTGTGGTACATCTCCTATTTGAGACCTGAGTGCTGGAATTAAAGACTTCAAATGTCACACAGTCTGTACAAAGAGAAAAATACACCTCCACATCTGAAGCCTTATCAGCCATATGCAGTGGCAAACTGCTTAGGTTTCACGCAGATCTAAGTGACCAGAAACCCATGAGGAAAAATGTCTTCAATAGCAGGGCAGTCTCACTTAGGAACCTAAGAGTCAAATCATAAGCATGAAGAATTTAGTTGTTCAGCTTTCTCATCTGTTAACTGCATTACTTCTTTAGTATCAAGTCTGAGTATGATAAATTAAAATGTTTAGTAGAAGAGTTGCAGGATTCTTTATCAACAAAGCAATGTCTTCTATACCAGTAACTATGCTGTCTGTGGTTCCTTTAGGTCCAGAGTCCTGGTCCTAAAGCTTAAAAGTTATTAGGCCAAAAATTACAGCATACTTACTTTATGGGGATAGCTAGGGCCAAGCCAGTGTCTGTCAACTGAAAGGAATGAATGGACTAACTGAACTACAGCTTGGAAATATGACTATGAAAACAGGCACATTTTTCAGAATGTTTTTTGAGGAATGAGAAAATGCCCTTGTCCTTTGACAAATATTTACACATCAGGATGTCAGAGCAGTGAGCCACAGTGTCCACAGCAGGGAATCCTGCCAGGAATACAGCCAAGCATGGTCTAGACTAGAGAAGGGGCCCATAGATGCAGATGCAAAGGCAGCTTCCGGGAAGCCGAGCTAAGAGCTCTAAGGTGATGGAGCCAGGTCTGAAGACACTGGTCTTTCTGCTGCAGCTCTGATTACTGTACAGTAGTTCTGAAGCAGCAGAGGTCTGTGGCTAACTGGTTCTTAGTTGTTTTAAATAACGAAAAGGAATCAAGGTACAATAAAACGGCATGTTTTCAAATCTAAGTGTTCAGTTTAACTGAAAGGAATGGATAAGTTTCCTCTCAGAGAAGTGGGCAGAATCTACTTAGTCTACTATGTCATCATGTTATATTTATATTATATATTATAAATATATTATAGTTACATATTCAGTGTATCCAACAGTACAGTATATAGGCAGATAAGCACACAGTCAACCTTCTCACAGGGGCAGGTAGGCTATATACTTTAGCAAGCAATAAGGACTAAAGAGAAAGTCGAGAGAACACGGGCAGAGAGAGCTGGCTAGTGAAGCACAGAAGCCACGCAGGGATTCCTCTCCCAGGTGTCTAACAGAGTCATTTCTTCTGGAATCATTAGCTTGAAGTTTAAAAAGACGGGGAAGGGTTGACATGTTATACAGAAGTATTCTAGTTTTCAGAAGGAAAAAGTTCTAAAAACTAAACAAGTTTTTACATAGTCAGGTTTTTCCTCACTCCTGGAAAGTACCAACTACACAAGACTGCTGGACTGAGGAGAACAGAGAATCTTTTTTCATTCTTGTGTCCCCCGCTCCATCCAAGGTTCTCCTTATGGGGAGGGAAATGGCTTCTGCCCATTAGCCACTAGCCAGCTCTATGGCATGATAGCTCCTTTCCGTTTTCCCTTTCCCAGCAGAGGGCATTTGGTGACCTTGACATCCCCTTCCATTAGCTGACAATTTGCAATCTGATATCCAGGCTGAGTTTAGATGCAAGTCTTTCTCCTCAAGTGAAGAAAACTGCCATGGTTCAGCAAGACATGGTCATGCTCAAAATAAGCTACAAAGAGAACCCTATGTGTCATCCCACAGAGGCGGCTTGGGATGGAGGACAGAGAAATGAGAGACGGGATCACAGTGTTCAAGATGAAAGGGAAGCAGCGATGCCACAGCAGTTGCTTGTATTTTATAAAAACAAAGGTCCCTTCCTTCTCCACTGGTAAGAGCTCTCTCTGACACACAAGATTCTCTTAGCCCAGCAGGTCTTAGATCTCCAAAGGGGTTAGAAATAAGGGGTTAAAAGTTCACCAGCTCAGGGTCTTGCTGTCTGTCTTGCCACTAAAGCCATCTGACAAGCACTGTAGGTAAGTCCACCTGTCACTTTTCTGGTGGGAACTGCTGCCTGTGGCTGCTGGTGCCTAAGAAACTGCCTTCCTATTCCCTGAAGAGCCCTGGCCATCAAGCGTCTGCTTGTCTGTGCAGCCTTGTTTGAGGATGGGAAAGTTGTTTATAATGTCTTTGTTTCTTTTATATTCTATTTCATGAGTTGCCAGCCTGAAGCTGGAAAGAAGCTTCTCTTTAGAGAAAAATTCTACAGTGTTTTGTTTTTTAAATTAAAAAATATATATATCTATTTACCTACACACATGGGTGTTTTGCCTGAATGTAAGTCTGTGTAGCACTTGCATGTGGATCCCCCTGACATTGGAGTTATAGACCATTTTAAGCTGCCATGTGAATACTGAGAAGCAAACCTGGGTCTTCTGCAAGAGCATCCAGTGGTCTTAAACACTGAGGCATCTCTTTAGCCCCAGAAAATCCTACAGTGTTTTTAAACTAAAACTGGGGAGAGATGAGGAGTTTTTTTTCCTCCGTGAATGTTTCCATGATGACATAAATGGTCATTGGTACCTGTATCTTTTTTTTTTTTCCTTGCTCAATAAACCAGACAAATCTAGATGTATCCTATTCCCTAGGAATAACGTGTTGAGATTTAACTCTGCAGCTCTCCCATGGCTACTCTGAACCACAATGCTTGTCTTAGGAAGGAAAGTCCCAGCAGTCTTGCGCATGCTAATACTCCTGAGCAGACTCTGAGACAAAGCAATAACAAAATAGCAGCAACGTGACGATTATGCTCAGAAATCACCTTATCAAGATAAAAATACAGCTTTGCTACTGTACACACAATTTTGTTTTCTTATGTGTAAATTCAAGAATACCCAGAATTACTGCTAATATATTTTAAGAAGGACTGGCAGGCAACATCTACATTTACGAGGAAGAATTACTATTTTCCATATGACCTTGCATAGGATCCTGGCTAATCATAGGGGAGTTTGGGGAACACTGCAGATAATGTGGAAGGAAGCATGATGTCATCCTGGAAACATCAGCTTCGCTGCTACGGTTCCGCTCACAGGGATACATCCCACCTGGCAGGGCCATCACATCCACTTATCCCATTGTCTTCTGCTTCTTAGTCTTTTTCCCTCTGACACAGATGATTTCCTCCCTATAAAGAACTACCTATTTCCAGTGTTAAGTTTTGGGGGCTGTTTCCTCTCTACCAAGAATTACTAGGATTCATCTATTGGAGAGAATAACCAGCTATGACCATTTTTAACCCCGCCCCCATTTCCATTATTTTGTGTGTGTGGTACTGAGGATCAAACCCAGAGCCTTGTGCTTGGAAGGCAGGAGCTCTACCACTGAGTAAAATTATGCTCGGACTTCCACTAAATACTATCTCTATAGGTCGGATTTTGTGACTAAACAGTATGAGCTCTGGCTCTAAATCTAATTCTGCTATAAACCCACTGAGCACAGTGCTTCCTTATAGCTAGCTGTACGTTTCTACTTTCCCACAGCCAATCAAGTAGCAATATTGTCTCTATTTACAAGGCTACTGCAATGCTGGAAAGCCAAAGTGCATCTTCCTCTTTGGAGAAGAAGCTCCCAGCTGGTGGTTAGCCTGGGTAGCTGGCTGTGTACTGTCTGTTATGGATGCACTACTTCAATTCCTCCTTCACAACCTCTTCTCACATTTGCTGAGACTGCCCCCATGACCTTTCCTTCCCAGGTGAAGTTACAAATTCCATATTCCAATATTCCAGTATTTACTTGGAAAACAACTGGTAATAATTAACATGAGTTTGCAAAGTATCCCTCCCAACTCCCCCAAAAAGGGGCAGCCGTATCTTCTGCCCAGTGCCCAGTTCCCCCATGGAACTGGTCATTAGTAATGCGTGGAGCCTAGGTTCCTGGAGGCCGCGTGAGCAGAGAAGGCTGCAGCCACAGTGCCTCTTCACCCCGGGTGCACCTGTCCTATCCTATCAGCGTCGGGAGAGACAGTGCTCAAGTCTCTGCAGATGCATAGCTTTGTGCCTTCCTCCTTCCAGCTCCACCAGCTGGACTGCACATGCTTTCAATGTGTTATTCAAGTGTATATTTACTTGGGCTTTGAGGTTTTACTCTATTACTATGAAATTGCTATCACTGCTAACAGTCCTCACTCCAGAATAAATGTATACTATTGACAGACTCACCTTCTTAGGTCAGTGTTTGCATGGCACAACTTTTCCCGCCCTTCAGCTTGTGAACCCATCTGTACCCCTACATTCAGAATGGGATCCTGTATGGCGGTCATGTGGCTCACTACAAAGCACACGGCTGACACGCACAGTCCAAGGTCAGTCCCCAGCAGTGCAGTGAAGGATGCTCTTACAGACAGGTTTCTTTTCCAATCTGACCACCTCTACTCAGTGCTTGTTCTCACTCACACCTATCCAATATGGCAGCAACTAGCCCAGGGTAGGCTCCTGGGCAGTGATTATGGACTACAAACCAAAAATGACATATTTTGGATATAACTGGGTTAAAGAAAACATGTTACATATAATGTATTTAGTTCTTTTTCTTTTCTTTTGTCTGGTGCTGGAGGGCAAAGCCAGGGCTTCAGGCATGCCAGCCAAGCTCTGTGCCCACTGAACTACACCCCAGCCCATTCTAAAAACGATACTATTATTCAGTGTAAAGTAAGACACGTGGCTCACAGTGTATTTCTACCACACAGGGCTAGTCTAGAGCACCCTGACTGTATATTGGTGTGGCTGAGTTAAATCTACTACTGCATGCGTCTTTATGTTTGCACTATTTCTTCTTCTTATCTTTCCCCATCTTATGGATCGTTTACTTCCTTTTCTTCTGAGATTGCAGCTGCACTAGGCTCCTGACCACATCCTAGAACTTGCAGATGGTCTGGTCGTCTTTCACCTCCTGCTCATCTCCATATCCGCAATCTCACTGTTCTCGGGGACCACTGGGGGACTGCCTTCACGCAATGTAAGAAAACTGTTTAGATATTTTTATGTTTAGATATTGACATGTTTTGCTTAGACCCAAAACTAGTTTTATCTGTACAAATTCCTAAATTACTTCCATGTATTTCTAAATTTATTTAATGATCTATAAAGCAGTGTTCAGGGGCTGGACAGTTGGCTCAGCAATTAAGAGCACTGACTACTGTTCCAGAGGACCTACAGAGGCTCAGTTCCCAGCACCTACACAGTGGCTTTCAAGAGTCTGTAATCCAGTCTCAGGGAATCCAGAACCCTCTTCTGGTCTCTGTGGGTACCACACAGGGAAAATGTAGCATAATGGCTTTATATGTATGCCATATACAGGATTTTTACATTTTATTTATTTTTATTAGTACACTTATTTATATGTTATATATGTATGGACATAGTTGCACCATAGCGGACATGAGTGGAAGTCACAGAACTATTAGATGTTGTTTCTCTCCTACTGTGTGGGTCTCGGGAACCAAACACAGCTCATCAGCCTTGGCAGCAAACACTACCTGCTTGGCCATCCTGCTGGTCCTGGATTTTCTTTCTTTTCTTTTTTTTCCTTCTTCCCTTCCTCCTCTTCCTTTGGACTACTGGAGATTTTACATTCTTTTTTTTTTTTTTTTTTTGGTTTTTCGAGATAGGGTCTCTCTGTGTAGTCCTGGCTGTCCTGGAACTCACTCTGTAGACCAGGCTGGCCTCGAACTCAGAAGTCCGCCTGCCTCTGCCTCCCAAGTGCTGGGATTAGAGGCGTGCGCCACCACCGCCCGGCAAGATTTTTACATACTTTAAAAACTAAATCTGATTATTTTTCATTTCCTGTACTAGTTTGTCAATAGTAAGAATAATTTGTGTTACTTTATTTTACAGAGAATTTTAACATGTCCTATAATACTGGCAGGACACACAAAACAAAAACGGGTACTTACAAGAGTATTTTAGGAAAGAATAGAATTTAAAAATGCATGAGTATTTGCAAAAAACTGAATATTCATAATTGATGAAAAAGAATTAAGTATTTTGTAAATTAAACATCACAATTTAAGTATCTATGATAGTTCATCCAATGTTGGCTATTTAAGCTTAAAAAGTATGATATTCTAAAATTAGTGCTTCTTATTGGTTCTCATTATCATCTTGAAGATGTGACTTACTGTGTAAGCACTCCCTCTAGCACGTGAGGTAGGGGTGATAAGGAGGCAGGAATCTTGCCTCCCCAGCATCCACTCTAATCACGGAATTCCCACTAACTGCATGCGTGAGTCTATCTCGCCTCTGATGGGCTGCAGGAAAAGAAAGTCTGTCCTGATGAATGCTGCCTCTGTAAGGAATCTCTGAGGTAACTGCTGCAGTGAAGGGCAAGAATTCAGCTTATGTCTGACTCACTGCTGCCCCCTAGGTTTTGCAGAAGTTATAACAAACAGGCTATAATCCTTTTGGAATAACTGACTCTTCAGCAGTGACAGGAAAAGAAAAATGGTAAATGATCACACGTCAAAAACAACATATAAGCTGGGCAGTGGTGGCACACGCCTTTAATCCCAGCACTTGGGAGGCAGAGGCAGGAGGATTTCTGAGTTCGAGGCCAGCCTGGTCTACAGAGTGAGTTCCAGGACAGCCAGGGCTACACAGAGAAACCCTGTCTCGAAAAAACCAAAAACAACAACAACAAAAACCCACAACATATAAGAGGACACTTTTGATTATTATTATTTTTGTTTCCCTCTTTAATTTGGCGAGCTCTTCTCTACTATCATTTAATCCAGCGCTCATCCATCCCCCAAGGAGCCAAAAGATGTGAGTGAGGTTTCTAATAGAGACATCAAATCACGTGCTGCTTCTTATCATTCTAAGTAAAAAAATAGTACACACCGTTTGTCTTATAAACCAGCCAGTTCTACTGACAATGGAGCAGTTCAGCTGGTCCAGAGGAAACCAACGTCTTGGGCCTAGGATGGTCGTAAGTTCCGTCCATCTAGGCCCATAACAGACGAGTTTAGTAAGACTCTGAGGCAGCGCTCACAGTACACACCAGTGCGCAGGCCTGCTATCATTAGCTCTAGGAGCCTGGGAGTTTCTTAATCTTCTATGCTTTGTCTTTTGATGTTCAACTTGTCATATGCACACAATAAATAAAGGAATAATAAATCTTCTTAAGTGAAACAGCTTTTTAAAGGTTTAGGATGAGGACAGATCAATTTAAAGATCATGGCATAATTAATATGTTAAATTGAAATTGGGAGGTGAAGACATTCCCCCTTGCTACATATCAACTACACAAAAACAATTCAATTTTTTTGGTGTCAGCTTTAAAAATACCACAAACAAACAAACATTACTTCAGAAAGCTTATCACACACAATATTAGTAACTCGAGGCAAGCAGATGAGGAGACATGATCCCCTCAGGCAGCAGCACACTCAGACAGGAACTCTGCTCAGAGAGGCCAACTGTAGAGCAGGAGCGTGAGCATGGTGAAAGCCCATGTGAGGATGGGGGCACACACAGCACGGGAGGGACCGCTGCTGCCCGCCTTTGTTCACACAGAGCCTCTAAGAACCACATTTGCAGAAAGAGTGAGACCATGCCTTCATGTAGCGTTCACACTGTATCTGCGGACTGTTTGCATACGAAGTAAGGGCAAGCTTACCTCGTCATTGAGCCAGTTCAGATGGTTTAGAGTCTGAATGTCTTTGCGTGTAATGGTCAAGCGGAATGCCTCACTGAGGACTTCATCCTGGTTACCATTACGAAATACATTCTTTATTTCTTTCTCCATTTCCTAAGAAAACAAAAGACCAAACATAATGGTTTCAGAAAAAAACTGGTTCCTCACCAGTCCCCAGGCTGTGTTCACCACGAGTCACCTGCCTACCAGCTTCCTGCTGTCAGCGTACTTGTACCCACCATTCCGTCTCTCTTCCGGTGGTGTCTTCCAGGTCACTTCCCACCCACCGCGCCCTCCTCCCTTTTCTTTCACACAACATTCAGACCCTTGTTTTTGTATCACTTCCTGAAGACTAATACAACCTTTGCTCCAATCTTCCCAACTTCTTAAAAGGTTTATGTTTTGTTTCTCAAGAAACAAAGGCTACAAAACGCACCATGGAGTAAAGGCAGCATCTGATAGTCACATGCTCTATGCACAGACAGTATTGTTTTACTTTTGAAGATATAAAAATGGAACTTAGTATAGCTAAGAGAAGTCTGTGCTGCTCACTGGCTACACAGCAGCTGGCAACTGGATCCAGGACCAAGGCCTGTGCACATGAAGGCAGCATTCTCGCACCAAGCTGCACCCAGGTCCAGTAACATTTTGAAAGGGGTATAAATTAAGGAACAGATTTTAAAACATACATAGATTGCTAAGTATTTTCCAAAATTTTCATAATGGATTACTATTGCTTAAAAGGAAACATTATAAAAACAAAGTATATATAAAAAAGTCATAATGAAATCCATTCATTTATATGCTCATTAAAAAATAAGACAAAACAAAAACAACAACAAAAAAGAAATAGTACTTCTCAGCTCACAATTTGCTATCAAATTATCTCCTATGTCAGCATATAGGAAATGGCGGGCTCAATTCCCCTGACTACAATCAAAACAGAACACAATCTCCCAAGCCAAACCTAACAACAAAAATTATTTCTTTGAAATATAAAAAAAAAATGAAAACAGAAATGTAAAATATAAATTTACTGTATACCCTCTCACTGAAGTTGCTAAAACCCACCCATAACCATATGAACAATTTTTAATTACCTTTAATAGTAAACATTGGTGCATAACACAATTAGAAGTATAGCTATACAAATACAATCTAAATGTCAGATACTCTACTGAATTACATTTGAAACTGCTCTCATCAGCCTTTCTAAACAAAAAGCAATTGTAGAAAACTAATTTTCTTTGAGACAGGGTCTCACTGTGTAGCTCTGACTGGCCTAGAACATCTGTGCTGACCAGGATGGCCTCAAATGCAGAGAGCCACCTGTCTCTCCTTCCAAGGTGCTGGGATTAAAGGTGCTTGCCACCACACCCAGCTCTACTGTAGGAATTCTCAGTATGTTCTTTACCTCTGTAATTTCAGGAAATTCGTCTTCACTATCAGTTAGTTGTTGACCTTTTTTCCCGGTTTCTGGGGCAGCTGTGACAGGAATCTCCTTTTCAAGAGGTACACGAAGATGAAGTTCAACAGAATCAAGTACTGCATGTTCCTGTTCCTGCAACCTCTGGAGACAGAACTTTAGAGTAAGTGGGACAAAGAAGTCTACTATTCGACCTCTGTGAGGTGAGTCGCTCTGGGACACAAGCCACTTATCATGAACTCTATGCCACTATAGAAGCACATAGCCTCACTCAAGCAACAGTAACCTCCCAAACAGTTTCAACCTACAGGTGCTATCTATTTTCTTCAAAAGAGATTTATTTATTCATCTGTCTGTCTGTCTGTCTGTCTGTCTGTCTGTCTATGTTTTTTGAGACAGGGTTTCTGGCTGTCCTGGAACTCACCCTGAGGACCAGGCTGGCTTCAAACTCACAGAGATTCACTCTCTGCCTCCTGAGTGCTGAGATTAAGGGCATACACCACCACTCCTTGGTTATTTTTATTTTTTAGGAGTGCTTTGCCTGCCTGCATGCACGTATACCAACGGGTGCCTGGTTTCTAAGGGGGCCAGATTCCCTGCAACGGGAGTTACTGGTGGTTGTGAACTGCCATGTGAGTGCTTGTAACGGAACCCGAGTCTTCCCTAAGAGCAGGCAGTGCTCTTAACTGCTGAGTCGTCCTTACTTTAGTCTTAACCCTGCTTGTTTTTTTTTACCTGGTTTTGAAGCCGTAATGCCAATGCTTTCTGTTCTTCAATCTGGCGCAATCTTTCCCGAGCTCGAGAATCATAAACACTAGTTCTAGGAAATGAAAGCAACACAGTCACGTCAGTGTCTTAGCACTGACCATATCTCTGCTACACACAGTAGATAACCAGTAGTAAACAGAGCTCAGTACACAGATCCACTCAAACCTCTCACCACATTTACATCTCAAGATACAGTAAAATAACATGGTAATTTAAACTATTTTATCATTTTTACTGGACTAATTTACATAATTAGTGTGACTTCTGTGGGTATTTGTAAATACATAGTCCTATTTCAAAAGCATGCCTCTTAATAAGACTTATGAGAGTAAAGCTTAACTCTAGATATCCAAAAGCAGGACTGAGCTCCATAGGAAAGAGAGTGTACTGTTAAGGCAGCACCTAACTATTATGTCTTTAGACTTACGAAGACCAAGGGCTAAAGAAAACTGAGCAGGTTTTGGCATTTGAAACTAAATGTTTTCAGTTATTTCTCAAATTTTCTAATATCAGTTTATGTAATGATAAAGGCATTTACTTTATTCTTTACATAGCTAACTTTGAAATATTTTCCAATTCAATTTAGCTTCAAGAACTGTTACATAGTTGACAAATATGAAAACAGAGCTCTCCTAACTGAGGCTGTAGAGATGGCACAACGGTAGAGAACTCCAGAGGACTTGGGTTCAGTTCCTAGTACCCCTTATGGTGGCTCACGATCACATATGGCTAGTCTGTAATTTCAGTTCTACCAGCTCTGGCCTCAGATGCACACACATGCAGGCAAAACACTGACACATATAAAGTAAAAATAAATAAAATCTGAAAAAACTAAATATTGTAACTTTAAGAGAATCTTACAAACCCAATAGCTAAAGAGTACAAATAGGTATTTCTTATTGAGTAAAAACAATTAGGATATTTAGCTAGTTGTTTGAGTTCTTCTTAAATGAAAACGAAATGAGAATAAAAATAGTATCAAAAACAGTAACTTACAATTCTTTGATCCATAGTTCTGCCTGGAAGAAAGTAGGGCTATAGGTGGGGAAAGAAAATAAGCAGAAAAGGTTAGGGGGAAATTCGAATATTTTCATAAACAAACACAATCATTTCAACAGTCCTTTAGTTTGTAAGACTCTTTTGCAATTATGGAATAAAAGATATCCAATTGACACAAAGTAACTAATTTGAATTTTAATTGAATCTAATTGTAAATTAAAGGACGTGATTATTACACATGTACTAAAAAGATGACCTACAGATCAGAGGAGAATAAAGTTCAGCCCAGCTCTCAACTTGTATGAGAGAGTAACATATGTTAAAGAAAAAAATCCTTCTTCTAAGAGGATATCTTAAGATAGAAAGTAACTGTTCCCAAATGGTGCAGGCTGACAGAATTCTTAAAAGATTTAGCCAAATCTTTAAATTCTTGGACTTCCCAGTGTGAGTCGAAACAATCTGTTACAGGCTATTTGAACCTGTTACAGGATATTTTCTAGTTGTGGTGTGGCTCAGCCCTTGGCACACACCTTTAATCCCTCTGGCTGGAATATAGACATGACCTTAGTATTCATCTTTAATCCCAAACAATGAAGGTAAAGTTAGTTTGTAGAAGGAAGCACCCATGTTTGAAAGTGATGTCTAGTTGAGTAGCAGACAAAGGAAGGAATCAGAGACAGATTCGACAGAATAGGATAGGCCCAACTCTCACGAGGAAAGGAAAGGGAAGCTACTTAAAGGAGAGAAAAACAGTCCAGGAGGAAGAGAGTGCAGTGCAGGAATACAGCAGAGTTCATGGGGAAGAGTGCAGTAGGATTGAGAGCGAGAAGGCAGTTGTTTTAGAGACAGACTGAAGAAATAACAAGCTTGACGCAGGTAAAGACAGAACAAGCAAGAGAATGAGAAGGAGCCTAAACTGCTAGAGTTAGTTTGAGGCCAAGAAGAGGCCAAAGGAAAAGCCTGATTGAACCAGTCAGGTAGGAGAGGAGTCTGAGTGAGAACAGCTGAGTTGAACCAGCCAGCCAGAGATCAGAAAGAACTAGGAAGGGGAAGCTTATTCAGCAGCAGTTCTGAGAGGCTGAAAACATTTTAAGCCTAGATAAGATTTGTATGGAGGCTAAAAGCTTAGCTTCCAGGACTAGGCCTAAGTTAGCAGACAGAGGCAGTAAGCCTCCCAGACAACAAAGACAACAGGAGAATAAAAGTTACATTTACAATAGCCAATCAAATAATAATACATAGTAAAAATCTCTATCCACAAAATATTGCACATCAAACTGGCCAAGGAGCCAATGAGCCAAGGCAGAGACACGCAGGGAGCTCTGCTCCAAGGATCTCAGGCCGACTCCATTCCACAGGATCTTGTGGACAAACACAATGAGGAGCACTGAGGAGTCACAGGAATGTTAACTGTTCCAACAGCTTTCTTCCCTCTCAACTGCTTTATCTCTTTGCAAATCTCTAAGAGATCTATCACAGAAACAAATACAAGAATGAACTCTTTTCCAAAGGAGACCTTTGAGGTCCTCAGAGCAAGTAAATAGTTTTCTGATTCTGAGCAAGTCACTTCACCTCTATGGGTTTCAGTTTCAAGATGTGTAAACTACGGTGTGGTTAGAGTTAAGTCCCCAGTCACCCATAGGCCGTGACTTGGCAAAGAAAATACTGTTCTGCCCCCTCAATGTCATTAAGGCTAATGAAATCTAGTCACCTATGGCTCAATAAACACCTGAGAGGGCAAGAGAGATAGCCTTGGAAATCATCAGTAGCAGTATAATTTTAGTGTGTCATACGCGTGTGCAAATACACACACACACACACACACACACACACACACACACACACACAGCCAAATCAACAAGAGAAGATATTTGTAACATGATACAAAGATGGAAAAAGAATTATCCAAGATTTCACATTAACAGGTCATGAATTTGTCTGTACTTATTAAAATATAAATTTCATGAAAATACAATTTTTATTTATAACTACTGTATCCTCCTCATGTAGAATACTACCTGCTAGAGAGCAGATCCATGGCTGCTGAATAAGGAATAATGTAGGGGCAAGTACTTCTCTTCAATGGACTGAGGTATCTGTTGGCTCAGGAAGGACAATTATAAGAGAAATTGCATTTCTAAAGAGATTACACACAGTAGTAAGAGCTACAAGCATATTGAACATAAGTCGATCCTACTGCTCTCTATGTAAAACTGGCCTAGTGGTTTATGTATTGTTAAGCCTCATGAGCTTTCCATATTCATTTAATATAATATGCAACATGAAATTATTACTCATACTTTACAGAAAACCAAACGAAATCATGCTGAGGTCCAGAAGGACACGCTATATTGGAACAACAAGTATTGTAGACTTCTCTGCCCAATTCCAAAGATTGTTTTCTCCTCTAGTGCTGAAACGCTAGCCTCTCAGTATGCTAACACAGTAAGCAACAAGGAGAGCCCAGCTCCTGGCTCCAGGAGCCCATTTTGAGCTTTCTCAGATGTTCACTTATTTAGGAAAGACTTATTTACTAAACATCCATCACACTAAGATTATCACTGGGTGGTTAAGTGCAAAGATATTAGTGGTAAAAATACAGGGAGGTCGAATGTCTAATATCATCTGGGGCTCAGAGACACCACCTAGAAAAACTAACATCTGAATCAGATTTTGAAAAAGTAAGAGTTAAACAGTAGTCAAGTAAAGAAAGGGAATCCCAGGCAGAAGGGCAGAAGAATCAAGAATGTCTGAAGTAGAGGTGTGCACGCCACATTCCAGGAAAATAGGGCAGGTCCTCACTGTTGGAACTGAAGTAAAAGGCAGTGGCCAGAAACTAACTCTAAAGGCGAATCAGCCGAACCTTGGGACAGCACCTTAACTTCAGCCACAGACATCACTCATTACTCCAGCTCATTCTTCAACAGCTCATGCTGTTCTCCTCTTACCTCACCCTTCAAGTCATTCTTAAGAGAATCCTCCATAAGGGAAAGCCAGACTTAGTAAAGAACCAATGAGAAACTGAGAAATGCTTTGTCTAATACCAACTTCTTCTGGGAGAGAATACTAGCTTTGTACATGTGTGTGTACGCGTGCATGCGTGCGTGCCTGCATATATATGTGTGTGTGTGTGTGTGTGTGTGTGTGTGTGTGTGTGTGTGTGTGTGTGAGAGAGAGAGAGAGAGAGAGAGAGAGAGAGAGAGAGAGAGAGAGAGAAACACATCTGTAAGCACTAAACGCCTTTACTATACATTCTTTTTCTTTTCTTCCTCTGAACTAGGCTGGGTTCAAACTCACCATGTAGATGAGGACAACTCAATCCTCCTGCTTTGGCCCTGTAAGTGCTGGAATCACAGGAATGTACCACCACAACCCTAGAATAAGTTACTCTTCACACAGTACAACAGTAAGGCCTTAACACTTAATTTTTTTTGGCAAGTGAGGTTCAGAAGAATAACGAACATTTACACAAAGGCCAAAAAAGCTATAAGCAGAAGTCAGACCTGACTCTAAACACCATGAAAGAAATAACAAATCCAAACCATACATTCACCTTGAAGAATTAACAGAGAAAAGTTTGTACAATACTCAAAGCTTAAAATAAATATTGGAGGGGATGGGCTGAGACAGAACATTCTATCATCTGCAATCTTCTCATAGGAAACTGTTCTGTTGTCATCCTGGCAGACAGACTGTCAAGGCTCTGGAGGATGATGACAGCAGTGTGAGTAACTACCACAGAGAAGAAGAAGTGGAGTTATAAGTGGAAGAGCACACTTAAACTCAGACTCCAACAGTGTCAGACAGAAGAAACCGTCATGTTGAGACACAAACATAGATCCTATCTATAAACAAGTCTAGTATATCAAGATATACAAAAAGATCTATTTACAAACATAGCTCCTGCTGGGCAGTGCTGACACACACCTTTAATCCCAGCACTCAAGAGGCAGAGGCAGGCAGGCAGATCTGTGAGTTCCAGGACAGCCAAGGCTACAGAGAAACTCTGTCTGGAAAAAACCAAACCAAACTAAGTCAAAACAATAAAGCCACCAAACAAATACAGCCCCTTCTTTGACTTCCATCAGCTGCATCTGATTACAGACTTGTTCCAGCCACCTTAAGTAAACAGGACCTCTAACCCTAGTGTCTCTTACTTCGATTTTCTTCACATTGATAATTACCACTTTTTGCTCACTACTAATTTGTAACCTTATATAAAATGCAGCTCCTTGAGAACAGGGAGTCTTAGTCACTGCTGCTATCCTGATGTCTATACCAATACCAAAACCACTCTTGGTTCTGACTCACTCAAGGGAAGAGAGTGCCAGAGAATGTCAGACGTGTATGTGAAGGAGTTCTTTTATATCGCACTCAGGCATTCTGCCTTAGTGAGGTATCTTTCAGGTAATTTAATAACTAAGCGGTCATTAAACCTCTTTACTTATCACATATGAATTTTAGAAAGCTAACTGTGGCTGCAGCATGGAGGGCAGAGCATGGACAACTTGGGATGGTGCAAGACAGAATGAAGAGAGAGAAGGCTGGATGGAAAGAAAGCAAGAAGTCACTGAAATAATTTGAAAAACAGATAAAAGAGATTTTTATCCTATGTTACTGTCAGTAAAGACACTGTAGCTAAGGGGGAGAAAATGACCACTGGCCCTTGCCCTAGGTTTACCTGGAAGCTGGAGTCTGAGATTCTTTCACTTTGAGTAAAATCACAGAGTCTGACCCTAAACAAAGAAATACAAGAACATTTCATTATTAGTAAAATTCCAGCACTTACTGCATCTCATTTACGTTTAAGTGTTTACATGCTGTCATGTTACATGTCGAAAAGCATAACATTAAGCATATGACAAACCCCAGCCAGCCTCAGGATACAGTTAAAGATGGAAAAGAGGAACAGTTCCCCTGTGCCTCACAGATAAGGAACCATTAGAAAACAAGCACATCTGTCCATCAGCATCTGCCCTCAGGCTGTGCAGCTCTGTGCTTCCTCCTCCTGTTTCTAGGGAACAAGACATACCACAATTTTTAAGTCTTGAGTTTATGATATAACATATATAAAATAAGGTTAAAAAGAAGGGATGGAAAAAAGGAAAGATGACGACACAGGTAGAATTTACAGAAATCATTGTAGAAGCCCAGATTTTATCTCTGTGTATTTGAATGCAGGGCTCTCACTGGGAGCAGGGCTCGTGACCCTCAGTGCTGTGATTGCGCCCTCACTTACTATAGGGCGCCGCGCAATGCTACACCCAATGCTGTTCCAGTCTAGCTCCGTCTCAGTATCCTACTACGTGATATGTAGGTTATGATATGAGGTTGGAGAATTTTTTAATTTTAGATTTTTGGAAAATAAGAAGATAGTAATCAGAAAAATCCCTTCATAAAATGTAATATCAGTAATATGTAGTTAAACAGTGATATCGCCAAAAGTTGAATCCCCAAGTAAGAATTTTCAGAAAGTGAGGAGTATAGTAACGACAAAGTAATAATAATGACAGTAACAACAACAACAACAACAAATCAAACGACTGAGAAAGGAGATCGGTGCTGCACATGTCAAGAGTCCTCCTATCTAACCACTTGATCCAAAACTCGCTTTCCATTATAATTTGAATACATATTTCAAAGTGAGGATTAACTACATAACAAAATCTTTACCAGCACCAAGGCTTAGGCTGGGTATTTGGGTTAAGCTCAAAGTCAGGCAGGAGACTCTTGTTTCCAAAATGTTCAACCACTCTGAAATGCATGAAGCATCTATCAAACTTAAGGTGTATATGATAAATACTGATTAATGTTTGAAAGTTCTCAGAACTCCAGAGAACCCCTACAAGCATTATAAAGTAAGAGAAACAAAAAGCCATCCCTGAAGCGCTGGCCTAAGTGAGCTCTGACTCTTCTCAGGAAGTTAAAACATTTACCCTAGCATGGTAAGGGATCCTGTAATCCCAGCTCTCTGGGCAGGACTGCCACAAGTCCAAGGCCAGCCTAACACACAGCAAGCGCCAAGCAGGCAGAGGCACATACATAGGAAGACCCTTTTAAAAAGTAAATAAAATAGTATAGCAAGTCATTTGTATGTAACAAAAAGGAATATTCTTTTAAAGAGGGAGGGAGGGAAGGAGGAGAGTGACAGAGAAAGGCACTAAGAGAGGAATGAATTTGACGTGTGGGCTTGGCATCATCATGGCATAGCTACCTGGATCATATGCATTTAACTAAAACCTGTTATGTACTGAGTTATATGTACTACAGCTTTGCCTGCAACAGATCCAGTGAAGAGTTAACTGGCTGTTAGTATTACTTACCTTCGGATTGTGTACTTGATGCTGGTAAGCTATCTGGCTGATGAGGTGCAGAGAGGTGATGGTGGGGATCAGAGTCTTTGGATCCAAAGGCAGCATCCGGGGTACCAGAGGACAGGGGATGTGCACTGGGGGTCAACCGCTCCCGTGCAGTTAAAATGCTGGCAGATCCAGAGGATGACGTATCACAACTGATGAGGTGAGATGCACAAGAGTTTCCGTTTCTTAACAGCGAGTCTTTCAAAGAGTTCTTACTGGAACTAAGACACCGAGACCTAGGAAAAGAAGGGTACGGTTTCAAGATCAAGTAACAAACTGTAAAGTTAAGTTCATATGAAAGATGCATTTGATAACAATTGCACAATTTTTCCATTTTTACCTGATGTCATTGTTTCTTGTAATAAAACCTTTTCTGATTGAAAAAAGAAAGAAAGAAAGAAAGGAAGAAAGAAAGAGAGAAAAAAAGAGAGAAAGAAAGATGTGTTTGTGACTCACAGGTGTAAAGGGAAATGTGTGGTGGGCTTGGCTACGGAGAACTGTTTCCCTGTGACCATCTGCAGCAGCTGTCTGTAGATCTCCTTTTCTTCTTCTTGAACTGTCTTTAAGAGAGAGAGAGAGAAAGAAAACATCTTAAATAAAAGAGGCAAACATGTCTCAAATCAGCATGTAAACCTCAGACTTTCTGCCAGAGCTCGAGCAGTCCTGAAGATAAAGAAATGCTGTGCACTAATGATACCCTCAGAGTGCTGTGCACGAGAAGTAAGAGGTAGAAGGAGATCTCAGAGACAGCATGCTTTGGAAAATCTCGGTGGACTTAACAGTGCTGAGAAGCTTTTGACTAGGAAACAGAAAGCCACAAAGCAATTATCTAATCACTCAGATGATAATGAGTCCAAAAATAAGACTTCTAAATTAGAATCTTGAATAACCCCTTGAGTCCTGCTGCCGAGTATAAAGGTCCTGAGGAGAGAAGCATATAGTCGGGTGCCGTCAGAGGTGTCTTGCAAACAGCTCCGGATTCTATGCAGGTGCAAGGAGTCGTTAAAGATGATTTCTGTCTCTACCATTCATTTACTGATTTTTCTCTAAGTCTCAATTTAGTATTAAAAAAAAATAAAACAGCATATAATCCGTAGCATTTACTCACTGATTTGAACATCTATTGTGCTCTAGACACTTGAGATTCACAAACTGAATAAAATAAATTGCCAGCTTTTGTGGAGTTTATATTATAGTTATTACAAAGACTGTCAATCAAAAATGTGTTCATAGCATGAAAAAAATTAAAGAGCAAGGGGGATAAAAAGTGATGAAGGCAAAGAGCAAGAAGAGGCACGATCTCTCTAACAAGAAGACCTTTCAGCAGAAACCTCAACTAAGGTTTGAAGGGAGGAAGTTAATGATGAACAGAAGGCCGTATATACGCAAATGCCAAGCCCAAGACAGGAAGGTGCCTAATACACTCAGGAGTCTTAGCGTCTGTGCAAAGGACAGTAAAACAGACACGGTCACTGGGAGAGACAAGGGCGCAGGAGACCTGCAATCGGAAGCATCCACTCTACACACACCCATGCTAGGCTCACCAACAAACACGGCCTTGTTGCTTTTCTCAGCCACTCATTTTCACAAAATGAAATTCCACTGTGGTTTGCATTATAGGATATATGGCATTGTTCAATAAGAGCATCAACATTTTATGTAAATTGTAAATGCTTATTAAAAGCAGAATGAACTAAGTAACTAGCTCTGAAAGTAAGCAGGCACTAATACTTCTCTTCCCGAGCCTTTCACTGTTGCTGCACTGTTATTATAGACAGTTCAAGTGTGAAGTACGATCACTCCAACTCTCCTACAGTTGACAGCTAGACGGTGAAAATAAAAGGAAGAACTAAGCAAACGTCTCGTGGACGGAGATCCCAAGGGGTCAGGACCCTGTAAAATAAAGGGCTGGAGCAGCAGGATTTAATTACTGCCAGAGAGTAGGACTCCGTTTTATCTCTGGCCCTGAAGGAATGATGGTAGGAAAATAGTAAACATCTTGGTTGTCTGTATAAGTTACTCTTTTCCTTTAAGCCTGCCTCTTTCTTTTTTCTTTCCTAGACTCCTTTGTTTTACTCTTTAGTTTTTCTAACTTATACCTTTATCAACTTTTAAGTTCCCAGTATACTCTACACTGTGGCTGCCTTCCTCGCTCCCTATGCTCATGGCCTAGCAGCTGTTTAACGTTTCTTATCTTTGCTTTCTCCTGTGTCATTGCTGTCTTAGCAGTTTCATTTTTTTTCCTTCTGAGTGATATGACAATGAGCCTCTGCTCCTCCCGAATAAAAGCACAAGGAATCCACAGCAGACTGAGAGCAGAGCCCCTGCCGCACAAGCGTGAGGATGGGAGTCCGGCTCCCCAGGACCAGCTAAATGTTTCTGGGTAATGGCAGCCTGCCTGGAACTCCAGTGCTCACAAGGTGCAGAGAGGAACTCCTGGAACAATCTAGCTAGTCAGACTAGGTGTACAGGTGAGTTCTGGGTTCAACTGAGAGATCCTACCTCAGTGAGTAAAGTGGACTGCCACGGATACAGGACAGCTCAACAGTATGGAGAAATACAAAAGTGACCTAAAGGAAAAGAAGAATTGTGCGCAAGCTGAATTACTACAGTTAGATGTCATTAGAGAGAGGGAGAAGAAAAACACTATTTTCAAGTGGGCAGTTGTGGCGTACACCTTTAGTCCCAGCACTCAGGAGGTAGAGGTAGGTGGACCTTTGAGTTTGAGGTCAGCATGGTCTACATAACAGCCAGGGCTACACAGAGAAATCTTGTCTCTAAAAACAAGACAAAACACACAAAAAGAAAAAAAAGAGCAAAAATTTCAAAACATGTTATGTATTCCAATAAACTGGAAAAATCCAGAAGGAATGTATAGAACTTTGGATATTTATATAACCTTAACGAAACTGAATGAGGTACAACAATAACCTAAACAGATTAATAATGATGGTGAAGCATTAATCAGTCTCCTAACAAAGAAAAGCCAGGACTAGGCATTGACCAATGAATTCTTCTAGACTTAAGAACTAACATCAGTGCTCTTCAAACTGTTCCACAAAATAGGAAAGAAATACTTTCAAACTCGTTCTAAGGAGCCAGTACTACCCTGAGACAACTGGATAAGGACACAATAAGAAAATGATAAACCAAAATCTTTTTCCTTTCTTTTCTGTTTTGCTGTTTTTTGAGACAGGATTTCTCTGTGTAAAAGAGCCCTGGCTTTCCTGAACTTGCTTTGTAGATAAGCCCAGTATTGAACTCACAAAGATCCACCTGCCTCTGGTGATAATAAACCAAATTCTTTGATGAACATAGAAGTAAAAACCCTAAATAATTTCCAAACAACATTCAGCAACACATTAGGAATACTGTACTCCATGACCAAGCTGGTTTCACTCAGCGGTGGAGCTGGCACCCAAGTCAAGGAGCACCACTCACACACAGAAGCAACATGGAGCACCACATTATCATTTCAATAGCTGCAAGAACAAGTCTGACAAAGCTCAACGCCCTTCTTGTTAAAAGCCCTTAAGGAAAGATGTCTCATACCATAAAACCTAGAGGTGTTGCAGATGTGACTGCTGTGTCGCATGTGTGTCAGTAGGTGGCAGACAGGAGAGAGGCTATGTCCACGTTCAGTGTTCTGACCTGTAGACATCTGAATTAGTAGCTTAATATTCCCTGAAAAAACAGACCCTAGGACTGCCACAGATCTGGCACCAGGGGGCCTGGACAGGGAGCTAGCCTGAGATGAAGACCAATCTGGCACCCCCAGTCCTGGGGGGAGGACAGGACAGATCACACTTGAGATGACACCTGCCCAGCATCATAATGGATAAGTAGGCATGACTCCTGAAACGACCCCCAGGCACTCAGAGACCAGCCACTAAGAGGAGCAGGTAAGGGTGGAGAAACAGAAGAGAGAGAGAGAGAAACAGAAGGACGTGGGCACAATGAAGACAGGCAGAGCTGGAGACTGGAACAGCCTGATGTGAGGAGCTGGGGATGCCACCTATGACCATGGTGGGTGGGGTTCTGGGCTGTGCTGACACTGGGGGGCATGTCTGGGTCGGTGGCCCTGCAGCAGCAGAGGTCTGTTACCATCAAAGGCTAGGCAGACGTCCCTGGTCTGGGCTGCCATTGGGGACATGATGATGACTAAGGGCTGGGCAAAACTTGCCCCATTCCCCACCTGGGCATTGCAGGATAGTTGGCTCTAGAGGCAAGAGAGCAGGAGAGCCGACTCCACCAACAGCCAGCTGCTTGTATGGGTTGCAGGTGAGCTGGCCCCAAGGCCAGGACTGAAGGAGAACCAGCCCTCACCACCTGTGGCAGAATGTAAAGTTGGTCCAAGGATTATGAAAGTGGGAGAACTGGCTATGTTCCTCACTGGCTGCAGCAGCTTGCCTTGGCAGCAGGGTAGAGCTGTCTCTAATTGGGGGGGTTGTGGGCGAGCTGGCCCTGAAGGCATGAGAGCGTAAGAGCTGGAGGGCTGACCATCTCTGGTACCTATCAGGCCCAGATCCAGGGCTTTCAATTGGTCCACCCCAACATCTACCCCATCAATGAACCACTGGAAGGCTGATCCTACAGATTCAAACTACAGGATCTCCATGGCACAGGGCAACAACAGGACATCTGAGAGGAGTCCCAGTGAGTAGCAGGAGCCAGAGGCCTCGCATCAGACCAACAAGTCACTGCAATGAACATCAGCAAGCAAAGACGTGTGGACAAAAGGGAATACTGTGGATACAGTGACACTGCAGCTTCCACAATGAAATTTTTCCTGTTGGTGGGGAGGTAGCAGATGTAGTGGGGCAGGTATGAGGGGAGGGGACATGAGTGGGAATAGGTACACAATGTGAAGTTCACAAAGAATCAATAAAAAGTTAAAAAAAAGTGTAAAAGTATAAAAACTCTACTGATTAAATGCTTTCCTTTAAAAAAAAAAAACTCTATAGTTTTTATGAGATATGTTGAATGGGGGAAACTAAAGGTATTTTTCCTAAAATCAGGAACAAAACAAGGGTTCTCATTCTTACTGATTTCTAGCTAGAGCAGTAAGGCAAGAAAAAGAAAAGAAAAAAAAGCATTACAAATAGGAAAGAAAGAATTAAAATTACCCTCATTCGCTGATGATAGGATTCTGTACTTAAAAGACGAGAAAGATTCCATTAAGACTTTGAGGCTTGGTAAGTGCTTTGAGTAAAGTAGCAGGATACAAACTAAACACATTCATGTCCTCCAGCAGCCTCTCCCGGAGCCAGCCAGGAGGAGGGTCCTGTGCTTGTCTACTCAGGCTCTGCCCTTGCTGATGCATGCAAGGGTGGCGACCTGCTTCCTTATAAGGATTCAACAGAGAGCCAGCAGGAAGACCCCAGACTGTCCCAGGGACTGCTGATGATTAAGATGAAAAGAAATGAATTTAAAGGAAAACTCGTCTGCAGTGCACTGCACTGTGACTGAGCATCAGGAGTGTGGAGAAGTAATTCAGTTACTAGGTGACCAGCAAATGAGTATATTCCAGTTCCTGCCTGCTCACTGTCTGTGCAGCTAACACAGAGCTCAGGTGTGACTGTGATGTTAAAGTGGCGACTGTAACAAAGAAACCACTATCTTATTTCATTCACAGTAAACGGAATGGTGCTAGATAGCATGGCTCTCCAGTGTTCCCTTTGAATCAATAGCTGTACAGTTACCACTTAGACATCTTCAATCCTTTTTATAATCCCTGTCTTAAGAGTCCTGTTTTAAAACTCATCATAGCAGTGGCAGATTGTTAACCATACGGAGCATTACACCCCTGAAGTTCAGAGACAAATGTCAACTTTAACTAGGTATTATCATGTTCCTTCTTTACCCTAAGCAAACACTTTCATCCTGCAGATTCCAACATTTCTAGGGGAAAAATATATACTTATTTTTTTACAGTTTGCAAATTTCCATATAAAATTCTCTAGTTCCAGCTAGGCATGTTGGCTCATGCCTTTAACCCCAGTACTTGGGAGGCAAAGTGAATCTCTGTGCGTTTGAGGCCAGCCTGGCCTACATAATGAGTTCTATGACAGCAGGGCTATGTAGGACACCCTGCCCCTCCACCATCACCAAAAAACGCAAACAAAAACATAATAGTCATATGGGTTACTGTCAGCTCCAAATGTCTTCTTCATTGGAGAACACAGAGCAAAGACCCCCCACAATTCCCTGCAGCTGCTTTCCCAGCCAAGGGTCAGTCCTCAGAGCAGGAGTGCTGGCTCCTCATTCTCCACTCACCCAGCCTGTGGCCTGCAAGGCTAGCAACAAGAAAACACTTACTTACCTGACTAGCCCAAGTCCCTGGGATGGCAGTGGAGTTGACAGGAAACAAGGAAGCCAGGAAAGGACTGTTGATGAGTGACAGCTGACAGAGAACTTACAAACCTGTGCTCCTGGGAGACAGACTTCTCTTCAGCTGCTATACTGCTGGTCCCCCTTCCCCAGACAGCCTTCCTATGCTTCATTCGAGAATAAGCACAAATCCTTCAAGTCCAGAAATTAGGAAGAAATATAAGCCAGGGAGGGCAGCTCTGACCTGTAATGCCACACTTGGGAGGATGACGCAGGAGGATCAAGAATTTGAACCCAGCCTTGACTATATAATGAGTTAAAGGCTAGCCTGGGCTACTGAGTGAGAGCTCCCTCTCAATAAAACAAAAAGGAAAACTACTTCTGTATGTATCAACTAATATATACTTGGTGTAAACTGGAATAACAGAAAAGGAGAAATCAAAGTGACGAGCTTGAGATCAGCTGGTAGGAGCAGAGCTGGGGCTCAGGCTCGGTCCCCGCAGCCCCTCCACTGCGCTCAAGTCTCCCTTCACCCTCGTCACTCAGCTCTCTACACAGCACGACAGCAAACACACCACTTGCGTCTCATCTGTGCTCTACTACATGATTACTCCGCCACTCTCCTCTCGGATATTTAAGGTTCAATAAAAACCTAAACCTCAGTAAAGCACATCTCCACTAAACATTTACCACTTTACAAATAATGACCTATCTCAATTAACAGAGTATGTAACCGCTAGCATGTACTGCTGTACTCTTGACTCTGCATAGGAAGCAACGCTAGGCAGGAATGATCACCACGCTGTGTACAGGAAGCATACGACAACAAACTCCAGAAGACCTGCTCAAGACCTGCTGTACCATTTAACTAGCCAGGTGACTTTCCTTCCTCATCTGTAAGGTATGAATATAAACTACCTTTTCCTATTGTATAGGGTCAAAAGAATTCAATTATTTAATATACTAACAGAAAGAAAGCACATTAAAACACAATCTCTACAGTAACCAGTTAAAATTAATAAGATACCAAATAAATATACAAGTAAACAGATGCATACTTCTTGCTGTGACAACTGGATACGATCTCAGTCTCACCTTTAGGTTACTGAGTGGAAAGAACAACTCAAGTGTCAACAGACAGCTTTCTTTTGAGAAAGTCTATGATCTCCAAGATCCTACTTGTAATGAAAAGAAATAAATTTACCTGGCGTTATAAACAATAATCTATGTGCATGTGCAAACACACATGTAGAAGCCATATTAACCTTGGGTGTTGTTCCTTAAGAAGCTGTCTTCTTTTTTGAAACAGGGTCTCTCACTGGCCTGAAAGACACCAAGCAGACTAGACCAATGAGCCACTAATGCCCTGGCTCTGCCTGTCTCTACCTCCTAAGTACTGGGATTATAAGCACAGAGCACCTCGCCTAGCTTCTGAAGTGAACACTGGGAACTGACCTACAGTCCTGATCCCTGATGGAAAACACTTTACCGACCAAACTATTTCCACAGCCCCTCATGGCTTTCTAAAAAACTAATTTCTTTTTTCTTTTTCTTTTTCTTTTTTTTTTTTGTTTTTTTCAAGACAGGGTTTCTCTGTGTAGCCCTGGCTGTCCTGGAACTCACTCTGTAGACCAGGCTAGCCTCGAACTCTCGAACTCAGAAATCCGCCTGCCTCTGCCTCCCAAGTGCTGGGATTAAAGGCGTGCGCCACCACTGCCCGGTGAAAACCTAATTTCTTTTTCTTTTATATTTTGTTTTTATAATTGATGCAGACTGTTGCTAGTGAGAGATGTTTTAACAAAAACTGGTGACCAAAGTTCATGGTTCTACTAAGGAAAGTAACAGTTCAGAAAGGTTATGAAACAACAGGAACAGAAGGCAATAGGAAAAATAATGTTCTTCCAAAACTTTGGAACTTAGAACAAACTTTATAAAGAGTAATTATGGGGAACAAGCAGAGCAGGTTAGGTGAGTACAGTGGTTTATGAGCACGCAGCGGGGAGCAGACCATCGGCTGGCTCACTGAATGACAGGCCTTCCTCTTGGTGTCTCCAGATGCAGCTTTTCCTTACCTCTTCTGCTGTGCTGAAATGTCGCCTCTGCATTTTCTTAGGGCTTAAAAGACTCCGCCGACACGACCCACTCCAGGATGGACTTGGGGCAGGCTTAATGGGAAATGACTTTTCATATGCAGACACATGGCAGTGGTGATTGGACTTTCCCACAAAGGTGTTGGATAATCCACTAAAAGAAAGGTTGTAAGAAAAGTTAAGATAAACCTAGAGATTATTTTTACTTTTACTTTTCAGAAATAATAAAAACAGGGCTGGGGAGGTGCCTCAGTGGAGAGGAGTACTGGCTGCTCTGCCAGGGGACCTGGGTTCAATTCCTAGTGCCCACAGGTGTAGTGACATTTCTAGAATTTCGGTTTCTTTAAAAAACAAAACACAACACAGAAGTATAAGAAACTGCTTTCGTTTTAAATCTCAGGTGTGGGATGTGGGGCTGCTTTGAAGCAGCTGACCATGATTTGCCTCGTGTTCTAGTAGAGGCATGGTTTTCCCAGCTGCAGATAGTTTCTGCAATTGTGTGATGTTTGGAATTCTGGGAACTTTTTTCAAAGAGTATATAAATGCTAGGGACCCAAGAGGTGGAGTGGGTTGTTGGTAGTTCATGGGGGTTGAGTGTGGTTTGTTAGTAGTCGTGCTCAAAAGAAACAAAAGCAAAGAAATTAGATCCAAAGATGTGTGTTTCCATCTAGTGATGGGGGAGAAACAGGGCTGCAGAGGCAACAGATAAAAGGTAGTAAAGACCACACAGTAGTGAAGACCAGCTACACACACGGCAGCTCACGACTGTCTGTACTTAGTCACACAGACATACATGCAGGCAAAACACCAATGCACATAAAAAAAAAAAAAGACAGAATGACAGAAGTGCATTTGTGGAAATACACAACACACAGGGTATAAATCAGGTTCTGCCTCTCAAAAGATTGTAGACTAAATCATATCTAGCAAACAATCAAAACTTTTTCTTGGGTTCACAGTCTAGAATTTCCTTTCTCAAGAACCAGTTAGCAATATGACATGAGAGAGAACAAACCAAGCTAGCCTTTGCTGGAGACCCCAGAGTGGAGGCATGGTAACCACATATATATTTTCTCTGTCACTACTTCACATTCCTCTTCCATAGCCCTGTCCCTAAAGCTCGTTGGAAGGAATGACTTTAAACATGTGAAGGAGGATAAAGCTGAAGCCTACTACTAAACCTTTCCAGCAAACTTTAAATTTCCTCAAGGACCAACAGAGGGCTCTCCTCCTTCGGGAAAAACAACCAGAAAGCTTTCCGCCAGGGTGCACAGCATGCTGTGGTCTACCGGCTGCACAGCACATGCTGGATTCTTACTATCTCTGCCCTTTCTAGTGGGAAAACTAACAAGAAAAATACCTTTGTGAACTCAAAACCCCAGTCTGTGTAAAGCTCACTTGTTTGAAGCTCCTCCTCCTCCTGCAATGCTTTCTAGCTGCCTTCGCCCGCAAGCCTGAGGGTCTTACTCTGACCAAAGTGAACTGTTCTTTTTCTTTCATTTTCCCCCAAGGACTCAAAATAGTTGCATAGTTGTCTAAGCTAGATTCAATAAACTCAACTAATCTAAATAAGATGACCTAATCTAAAGAACAAAAAAATAGTAAATATACTCTTAGTTTTCCAAAATCTGTAGACGTTCCTATATAATATAGTAGAGAAAGGCACAGACTCCAAATTTTGGCTCATGTTTCTGTTGTCAGGCTGGGAGGACAGAGCTAGCAAGACAGCAGTGACAGTACAAGTGTCTGGGAAAGACAAGGTGGGTTTCTACAAAAACATGTCTTCTCTACCTGTGCTTACTCAAGTGAGTCTCCTCAACACTAAAACAACCAAACCAAAAAGCAGTATGACGGTATCTTGCAATGCCAGGAAACAGGTATTCTATTTCTATTTAATGAGTTTGAGTCTAACAGAGCCAGTAGCAAGTTCAAAGGGAACTTGACAGAAAAGATAGAGATTAAAATGCACACAAGCAAGTACCCCTTCTCAGCTCTTCTAGGTTACAAAACCAAAGGTGTCAGGACATGAGCACTAAAAACAATAAGAAAAATGGACTTGCTGTCCCAGTCCTGGAAGTCCAGCTACTCAGGAAGGTGTGGCAGATGAACCACAAGTTCAAGGCCAGCCTAGTGAGCACGGAGACTCTGACTTAAACAGTGAAAGGGACTGGGATGCAGCTCCATGGCACGGCACTTGCACTTGCCTAGCAGGACTTAGACCCTGGTGCACGATTGGCAGCACCAAACCAACCCAGAGCCGAACAAGACAAACAACAACATGAACAGCTAAGGTGAAGTCTAAAACATACTGAATTCATCATGATAATTAAACTATACTAAGTAGCCATTAAAAAAAAAACTACTTTCAAAACTAATTTTTAAAAGAACTATTCATTTATCCTATCTTTCCCACAACAGACTATGGATTTCAGAGTAATCACACAGCCTGACCTTATGAGAAAAACAGAATGCCAACTGAACTAGTTTCATTAACTTTTAAGAATCTTTAGATAAAGATTGCCAATTGAAATCAATCAATTATTAAGGGATTAGTTTCAGTGAAACTGTTCACTTACATAAAGCCAAAGTAATCACACTCAGATTATATTCAAATCCTAAAGGGAAAGCTCTAAGGTACAATCAGGGACTAGACTCTAAACTCTCTTGTCACTAATCACAGAAGAACCAGAATAAGAAGACAGTGCTTGTTTTCTAGCGTGATATAACAAATTATCATTATTTCTTTTATTTCTTTGAGTCAGAAAATTAACTTACAAAAATCACAGGGCATGGAGACTAAAGCAGTAATACCATGGTGAAGTAACCTATCAAATCTAAAGGGCAACTCTATGGGAAAAAGCCATGCCATTAAGTCACAACCAACCCACCAACCAACCCACCAACCCACCAACCCACCAACCCATCAACCAACCCACCCACCCACCCTGCTCTTCAAGATTGCAAGAAACCTAAGGGGAATAACTGATAGTACATGTGTGAAGTGTGACACTACATAGGATATCAGTTTGGATCAGTGAGACATAACTAGTATTGAAGAAGCGGGTGACTGAGGAGCACGTAGTCTTAGGGCTAAGGAAATGGCTTACAGTAGAGAGGCTGCTGTACAAGCCTGCTGACCTAATGATCCCTGAAACCCAAGTAAGGTGGAAGGTATCAACTCCAAAGATGTGCCCTGACCTCCACATGGCTGCCATGGCACACACAGCTATATATATACCATATCACATGATAATAACAAATAATTTAAAAATGTATGTATAGTATGAACTAGTCATTGAAAAAAGATATAAAGGCACCAACAATACTTAAAAGAAAAACATTTGCCGGGCGGTGGTGGTGCACGCCTTTAATCCTAGCACTTGGGAGGCAGAGGCAGGTGGATTTCTGAGTTCAAGGCCAGCCTGGTCTACAGAGTGAGTTCCAGGACAACCCTGGGCTATACAGAGAAACCCTGTCTCGAAAAACCAAAAAAAAAAAAAAGAAAAATATTTTTATAAGAATTGTGCTCAGGTTGGTAAAAATGTATTCTATTTCTATAATTTATTTCTATTAAATTTCTATAATAATTTCATATAGACATATGGTATTTTTAATTTTAAAAAAGCAATTTGCTAAATAATGCATGAATATCTTTTTTTTTTAAATGATTATTTATTTTATGAGTACACCATTGCTCTCTTCAGACACACCAGAAGAGGGCATCAGACCCCATTGCAGATGGTTGTGAGCTACCACGTGGTTGCTGGGAATTGAACTCAGCACCTATGGAAGAACAGTCAGTGCTCTTAACCACTGAGCCATCTCTACAGCCCAATGAATATCTTTAGTGAAGACAAAAATTACATGTTGCATAGTGTGTACATGAGTACTGCTACCCACAGGAAAGACAGATGGGAGGAAAGACAGATGGAGAGGCTTAAAGGAAACACCGATGGGAGAAGGAGGTCATGGGTACTGCCAAGGCTCTTTCACCTGACTGTTAGCCTTTTAATGTTTATAGTACTGACTCTTCTATGAGTAAATAGGTAAGTGGGGAAAAGGATCCCAGAAGCCATGACGGACAGACGGCCCACAACCCAGGAGCCATGACACAGATACTCCACAACCCAGCCATGACAGACAGACGCCCCACAACCCATGAGCTAATAATCTTCAAGTAAATAAAAGCCATTCTGTTGGTTTTAATCAGTATTAGGAAGTTTGTCTAATGAGGAAACTAGATGACCTCACCTTCCTCAAATACATATAAAGAATTTAAAAAGTTATAAAAAGAAAAACTTTATTTATATATGTGTTGGGAGTCAGGCATGGCTGTACATGTCTGTAATCTCAGGACCTAGATGTCAGAGGCAGGAAGATCAGAAGTTCAATATCATCCTTGGCTACATATTAAGTTTGAGTCCAGGCTGGGCTAAATGAGAACTCAACTTAAAAAATAAGAAAATAAGAATACGCTGACATGCCAGTAACATAGCCCAGTGGTAGGGCATTTACCTAGTGTGCCCAATTCCCTTTGCTTTCCCAACACCATCAACAATTTAGAAGTAATGAAGCATGTCTGAGGTATTTGTCTTTAATAATCAGTGTAAGTGTGGCAAGGCAATAGGTGGGACTCATGAACTAGGATAAAGTACTCCACGACCCCTACTTTCTGAGTTACGAGATGCTTGGCCCTGACTGACTAGTGCAGATGTCAAGCAGCTGTGTTTTAAATAAGGGCATGTGAAAGACTAACATGGCTGAGTTTGGGGCTCAGCAGTTAAGTACTGCCTGCTCTTCCAGAGTGCTCAGGGTTCAATTCCCAGCACCCACATGGCAACTCACAACTGTCTGTAACTCCAGTTCCAGAGGATACTACATCTTCATGCAGACATAACATGTCTGCAGACATAACACGCAGACATGTAGGCGAAACACCAAGGCACATGAAATAAAAATACATAAATTGAATAAAATGAAATAAAATAATTTAAAAATCATGCCAAGTTCTTTGCCACTCCAGTTGCAGAGAACAACCACTTTTCCCTGTCAGACTTGTATTGGCTGCTCAAACATCACACCAAGTCCTAAAACACTTAGATGCTATCAGGGCTTCCTTCAAAGTGTCTCTCCTTATCACTTAGAAGATTCTGCTATCACCCAAGTTCAGCACAAAGGAAATAGATCTGTACACATTGCGATGGTTTAAAGCTCTAAAATGGTGCTCTCACTGAAAAGTCTACTGTGATGTGTCTCTTGCAGCCATTTCTCCTCGAATCTGAAGAAGGGTTTGAGAAGTTGGTAGACCAAAAACTAACCTTGAGGTCTTCCGGGTTTCGAGGTAAAGACTTCGGCTATTTCTTGGTTTCTGTAATGTTGAACCTGACGCTGGAGTGGGATTTCTCCATTGTCCATTTGCACTTTGACCAAAGGTTCTTATGTCACCTGAGCCAAGGAAACTGTCTGAGGAAGGGTTATCTAAAAGAAAATGAAAGTTTCCATAAGTTGAACAAATAACTCGATCTAGGTATTTTTATGATTGCAACCATGTTCCATCATTGCATTCCAAAGTAACGTAGCATACCACCATGCCTCTCACGGAAAAAGATCCCAGTCTCAACTGCCAATAAATCTGCAGCAAGGGGACTTCTACAAACTATAATCGATTCAGCCATACTAACCTGAAAAGTGATGAAGGAGCTGAATCCTGCCACAGCCATGTGCCTTATCATCAATGCATCAATGTGACTCCGTGGTGTCCACCAAAAGTCAACATTTTACCCCAACTATATCTTGCAAGCACTCCCAGGCCTGGGCCTGAAAGAAGGTAGGCCAGACCAGTAAGAAAGCAAGTGGAGGGCCAAGGAGATTGTAATTCAAATGAACAACAGTTATTGCTTAATAAGCAGCTGGTGTCACTTCCTTCTTGTAATTAACATGTTCCAGACTCAGAATCTCTCAAACTGCTGCTCACACTGGCTGGCTTATGGCAGGAATGACCCACTGTAGACCTCTGGTTCTAGTACGACCTTCAGTTTCTTAAAGCTACAATTATCACATATATCATCAATATTCCAGTGGTTGCTACTACAGACAGACTGAGGATTATTGATTATTTTAACTTTATGAACTCTAGAGTATAAGCTGGAATGACAGAAACCTCTTGAAGTTTCAGCTAGGGATAGAATAATTTCTTTGCCTTCTCTATCAGGAGGACCAGATAAGCTAAACAAGCTCCCACAAAATAACTTCAGACATTAGGCTACTGAATTCTATGGAGTATACATGAAAAAGTAAAAGTGATAATTGTCTATTCCCAGAATCTGTCTTATACTAACAATATTCTGCAGCTCTCCTTTCAAAGAACATTAACACAGGAATTTTCACAATAGTATGCATTTATATTTAAAGTATTTAGTGTGGGTATGGTGATACACACCTGTAATCCCAGGACTTGAGAAGCTGAGGCAGGACAATCACGAGCTTAAGGCTAGCTTTGGCTACATACAGTAAAATTGTCTCAACACATGCACATATATGCATGCATACACCTGTTTGTCTTTTAGTACTCTACTCAAAACAGCCTTCAAAAAGAAGGCTTCTAAAGTAAACCATGAAACAGAATTTGGGGTAAACATAAGAGGGAGAAGAGAAGAAGCAACCCAGAGTATTGTTAGTATCAAATGATTCACTAGTCAGTGTAGTAACTTAGGCTGACAAAGTAAGTAAATTCATTTTCAAAATGAATTAGAACTTTCTTCCACTATAGTAAATGTGTAGGCTTAACTCGTGAGTATTGTTACTCTAAGGATACATGAAGCTACTGTATCTAAGGATACAGGAGACTCAGTAAGAAACCCAGAAAACAATGCTTGCTAAATGCAAAGCTGTAACAGTAGAAATAACTGGCTTTCACATTGCTTGCTAAACGATCTAACTAAAAATGTATATTTGAGGAGGAAATCTGTTAAAAATACAAATTATCTTGAGAGATGTGAAATCTGAGACCCAGGGTAAGTTACAACAGCCTTCTGAGAGCACTAGATCTACAACAGCCTTCTGAGAGCACTAGATCTACAACAGCCTTCTGAGAGCACTAGATCTACAACAGCCTTCTGAGAGCACTAGATCGAGGCCTCAGTTTTACAGTGAGGGGAAAGCACTGGCTCAGTCACGTGGTTATATCCCCAGCCAATGACGTCACTGAGTAATCCTCTAATTGCTGGTGGGAGTAAGGGACTAATAAGAGGCTGCAAATCTTTTGTTATTAGTAAAATTTAACCTGCTATTTTGTCATCACTAAGAAATTAGAATTACAAAGCCAGAAACAAGGTAACTTATCATGTGCTTATACATGCATACAAAACTAGAATACCTGAAAATGTAATTGTGGTTATGTTCTAAGGATTTAATGACTGAGTGCTTTTCTCTACAATTTTTCTGCAGAAGCAGGCAGTACTTTTACGAACATAACAGTCTATTAAAAGCAACAGTGTGCTTCCACTATTTAGAGGCTCTGTGCTCACCTCCCCTCAAGCTCCTTCTAAAACATACAGATATCATTCACTGTGAAAGTAACCCATTATCTCTCCTCTTAACACTGGGGTTGATTAGTTACTAAAGTAACATAACACTAAATAAACTTAATCTGCTACATGTTAGCCTAATAACCTAATTTAACATATTTTCCAAAGATATTGATAAATGTAAAGCACTAGAAAATGCTTTTCATCTCAATCTACTTTTTTGTTGCTCTTTAGGATTAAAAGCACTTTAAACTTCTTCCACTGTGCTCTTCATAAGGCTGGCTATTAAAGGAAAGCGTTGCATTTATGCTTTGTAAACAATTCGGAAGTAACTTCCTTTCAATAGTTTAATTTTGAGCAGACTTGAGAAACACAGTTTTGCATGGTATTATTCAGGGAGATAGGTCCAGTAGATTCTACAATCTGGACTTTCCTATTTTCATTTCCTCTTGGAAGACAAATGTATGGCAGACCAGCAGCTGACCCCAGCAGTGCCCTGATTAGAAGACTATGGCAGGTACCAAGAGAGCCACATCTAGCCACATTAGCAAGGTGGGTTCAAGGTCCAAGCAGATGGTAGAGACAAAATTGTGCAGCATCTGTAATGAATTGGATGGGTATGGCAAAGGAAAAAGGCTCTACAGCACATGGTAAAAGTAGCTTTGCTTTTGTTTGGTGCTGGGGATCAAACCATGGGCCCTGTGTATGCATATTAGATGTAAAGTTCTGTTTGTAAAGTCGATGGCATGTCATAAACTTGTTTAATCAATAACTAGATGAAATCTGATAGATCAGTTTTCAACCTGTGGATTGGGATCCCTTTGGGTGTCAAAGGACACTTTCACAGGGGTGGTAATCAATTATTCCATGAATCAGATAGTTACAATTCATAACAGTAGCAAAAACAAAATAACAGTGAAAATAATCTTATAGTTGGTGGTTACCACATCATGAGGAACTGTATTAAAGGGCCATAGTGTTAGAAAGGTTGAGAAGCACTGAGCTAAACAGCCAGTTTGAATCCTGTTTCCAGCTGTAGACAGCACACAGAGAACGACCCTAATGACAGTGCAGCCCTCTCTCATCAGCACGTCATCATTCACTGCTATTTTTCTCATGTATACAAAACATTACAAAATATTCTTATTTTCTTAAAAAGGTCATAAATTCAAGTGGGAGATAAGCTTTAGTGAAAAACTTGGTATGATGATGAACACAGGAAAAGTGTAACTCTCAATGATCTGTAACTAATTAGAAAGACAAGAACCTGGTCAAACACGGCTACATTTAAGGACATGAGGATCTAGAGTGATCTCAAATAGATCTTTGTCAGTATTTAGGTTCAATCAAAATTAAAGAGAAAAACTGTATTATTAACTGTATTATTAAAGAGGTATTATTAACAACTAACAAAGGTGTAGTGGACTTAAGCCCGAGGAAACACAATGGTGACACAAACTAAGGCATTGGTCATTGTCCCAAATCACACAGCCTGGGGGTCCAACTGTACTTCAGAGTTATAGACTGGGGATTTCAGCCAGATAACCTGCTACTCTGTAGAACACTGGCCAGTATAATCTGGAGCAGCACTCTATAACAAACATTGGTACATGCAGCAAAACAATTATGCACTTATGTTTACAGGGTAAGTGAAGTCGAACATGAAGAGACCTCTCCATGTTGGTTCACATTGGTTTTAATATCAAATCTAAAAAACAGTTTTTTAGAGCTTTGTGGAGTTTGAAACTACACATAAGGGACTATGGCTGTGCATAACAATCCCACAGATTAGAAATTAATAGAAAACAATAAATATAAGAAAGAACTTGTGAACTTAAAGAAAACAAAAAATACAAACTTTAAGTTACAAAGATTTTATGTGTCAAATTATATAATGTGTATGAATATATAGGGAGATAAAGATTACAAGAGGCCACAAAGAATGGAGTTAAGTGATGTTTGGTTTTTACTCAAGGGGATTTAAGCCTAATTTTCTATACAACTGTTTATTATAAAGCAATCATTTAAAACACATTGGAATGATTTTATCCAATGATAAACTAGCATATCAGATAACAAGCAAATACAGCATGATTCAAATGGAAACATTAATGATTTGATTTTATTCATTCTGTAATCATCTTTTTTGTAGATTATGAACTATCATACCAGATTTCTTTGTTACCAAAAGGCCTTGTCAATAATGACTAAAGAGTTACTTTCTCGTTCTTTTACCATTGAAATTATTGACTCATACTATGCAGAGGCCACTGTCCATCCTGAGGGGAAATCTAGTGCCTAGGGGATAGTACCGCCCACCTAAATAATGAACACTTAAATATAACATATGTCTATAATAACATCATACTAACGTCTTTTTAGGGGAGGAGATCTCATCTTGGTGACAAAGAATCCTGAAGAAGCCAAATAATAATGATTATTATGTGCATATTTATCATAAGCTTATCCTTACAAAACAGTCTCATGTAGGCAGGTTCAACAGTATTCCTTTTACTCCCATATTTGTAGCAAAATGAGATTTTAATTAATGCTGAGTGAGAAGACCTGGAAGGTCACTGTAGTCTTCCTGAGTCATAATACTCAGAGACAAATGGACAGATTCTTAGTTTTCCAAGTCACAGGCAAAATACTGTCAGAAGTCTACACCATAGGAAGGGGTTAGATAAGGAGGCCAGCCACCCAGCGTAGGAGTCACTTGGAAAATGCTGACTTCTTCATGAATTACAGGTTGAATAGCAAAGTCCTTGAATACACAAGCATATGGCTGTGGCAGGCGCTACACAGAAACGTGTAGTTACATCCTGCCCTGAAGGAGAAACAGTCTTGGGCAGAAATAATTTTCAGGTTTAATTGTTTCAAGAACAGAAATAAGTTAGCTGTGTGGTTTAAATCAATACAAAACAAATATCCTTTGTATTACATGCACATAGCAAAACAGAAACAAAACCAAAGAAAAGCTATATTATTTTCTATCATGGACTCGTAGACAAGGAGAACAGATTCCAGAACAACTCTCCCACTCAAGGATTAGTATTTGATTGACATTATTTCCAAAATATTATAGTGACCAAATACATACACATAAACACCTTATTAAAATGATGTTTTAATGGAAAAATGTCATTTTACTTTTGACAATGCTTTCAACTTCTTTTCTGACAGTATAAGGAGGAAAGCCAGGGCTCTGAGCACGAGAACTAAGTGCTCTAGCACTGAGCCAGGTTCCAGTACCTGATGTTTTCACTTTTAGAGATGGTAAACACAAAATATCTGCTATGAGGAAATGTGAGGGGCATGCAATGACTGAATACAAGCAATGAGCCATACCTGAGTGATAATCTGGATTATAGGCTGCCCTTCTTGTAGAACATGTGAAAGCTCCGTCTAAAGTCCCCTGCCTGAAAGACAACATCTAAAAACAGAAGGTTGTTTTCTTAAATCATATTTTTGACAATTAAAGAGAATAAGTTTACATTAAGAAAAAAATCACTAAACAAAACTATGATAAACTTTGCAACTCAATATAAAATGTATTTATCTGTTATATTATAAATAAGGTGCATTGGGCTGGAGAGTTGGCTTAGCGGTTAAGAGCTCTGATTGTTCTTCCAGAGGTCCTGAGTTCAATTCCCAGCACCCACATGGTAGCTCACAACCATCTGCAATGGGATCCAACAGCCTCTTTGGTGTGTCTGAAGACAGCTATAGTGTTCTCATACATAAAATAAATAAATAAACCTTAAAAAAATAAAATAAAAAATAAATAAGCTGCATACTAACAAGAACAAAACAATTTGAGGAATTACTCGGCTTTAAGGGGAAAGCTGGAAAATACTGATTGCTTTACAGTGTAAAGGGTGCCCACTGGATGGTCTATCTGCATTTACTATATTCTATCAGACAATGAGTTATAAGAGGTCTTGGTTTTGCTTCTGAGTATTTCAGAGTAATTCTCGTGGGGAGTGCTGTTGCAGTCTTAGTTCAAGTGCAAGCTGTAAGCATCTCTGTGACACCTTATGACAGTGGGGGACAAGTGTCTGAATTGCTACAACAAATCCTCTCACTCAAACTACTAATGGTTTTTCTACTAAGAGTACTTTCTTTGCTTTAATTTAAAAAATTAATGTATTATTGCCCACCCATGGCATAAGCAAGGAGGTCAGAGGACAATTTGAAGGAGTCAGGTCTTTTTTTCCACCATGTGGGTCTCAGAGATCAAACCAAGGCCATCATGTTAGGCAGAAAGTCTTTATCAGTATATAAGTCAGCAAGGGATGCTTTTAACACATGGCTTTTGTTTCAGAAGTAGATGCTCAGAGTCTGCATCATCCCTGGCTCTCAAGCAATGCCAACACTGTGCTGCATTCGAGCCTTTACCAATTATATCACAGAAAGCTCAGAACGGCTGTTCATTGACTCCTGTCCCCAAAGCTATTCTTACTTAGTATTAACCTATGCTTAGTTTAAAAGAACAGAGATCTGTTTGTCAACAGTATAATATTCAGAGTAACAGTGAAGACCTTTCTAATATTATTCTTGCTGGGCAGTGGCAACACACATGCTTAATGTCAGTACTCGGGAGTCAGTGCCAAGTGGATCTCTGAATTCAAGGACAGCCTGGTCTACAGAGCTAGTTCTAAGGACAGCCAGGGCTACACAGAGAAACCCTGACTTGAAATATATATATATATATATATATTTTCATATATCATGTGTCTTAGGGTCTTACTGCTGTGAACAGACATCAAGACCAAGGTAAGTCTTATGATGACAACATATATTTGGGGCTGGCTTACAGGTTCAGAGGTTCAGTCCATTATCATCAAAGTGGGAGCATCTAGGCAGGCACGGTGCAGGAGGAGCTGAGAGTTCTAGGTCTTGATCTGAAGGCTGCTAGTGAAAGACTGACTTCCAGACAGCTAGGGTCTTAAAGCCCACACCCACAGTGACACACCTACTCCAACAGAGCTTTCTAATAGTGCCACTCCCTGGGCTGAGCAGATACAAACCACCACATTCCACTCCCTGGCTCCCATAGGCTTGTTCAAATATGAATTTATGGGGGGCCATAACTAAGCATAGCATAATGCAAAATACGTTTAGTCCAACTTCCAAAGTCCCCATAGTCTATAGCAGTCCCAACAATGTTAAAAGTCCAAAGTTCAGGGTCTCTTCAGTGATGCTGGTCTCTTCTTAATCACCACTAATTTCTTAGCTCCAGCTAACCAGCATTGATTGTGCCAGTAATCCCTTCTATTCTGGACTCTAAAGCCAGAGCCAGCTGAGTCCTGCTGCCTGCTGAGACTGGAACATGGCCTCCTTGTTCTATTACATTATCACCAGCTTTCTGTTTTCCAACTCCTTCACTGCCTAAGCTTGTTGTCCTGGAACATGCTTCATAGAGTGACTTTGAACTCAGAGATCTGCATACCTGTCTCCTAAACACTGGGATTAAAGTTGTGGTCCACCAAGGCTAGATTTAAGTTTTTCTTTACCTATTACTTGCTCTAGTCTAGGCTGGGCTTGAACTCAGAGATCCGCTTGCCTTTGCCTCCTGGGATTAAAGGCTTGTACTACCATGCCCGGACCTAAATTTATCTTGTTCCAAGGCCACTACTCCCTTAATTCAATTTAATCTTTGACGGAAGGATTCAACTCCATTCCACTTCCTGGTGTCCTTTTAATACTCAAACTATGTATTTTGTATTTTCCCTTTCTCAGTTTGCTACATTTGTTCAAAATGCTCTTCGTCAGACTTAACCAAAGAACAAAGTGTCTGTTAGGCTTTTCTGAGACTTCCTTTGTCAATGCAATTAATCTGAGTCGCTTCACCTTAGTCTCAGGCAGATTCTTTGGACAATGGCAAAAGGCAGCCACCTTCTTCATCAAAACATCACAAGAACAGTCTCTTGGCCACTTAGTAAAGTTCTTCTCCACGGAAACCTCTTGGGCCAGCAGGCCTACACAGTTCAAAAGACCCTGAGCACCACTGTCTGCCAGACTCCTACTAGGTTGGCCCATTAAGCTTCACTTAAAGCATTCAATGGCTTGCCAAATCCAAAGTCCCCAAATCCACATTCTTCCAAATAGAAGCACAGTCAGGCCTATCGCAGCAATACCCCAGTTCCTGGTACCAATTTCTGTCTTAGTTAGGGTTTTACTGCTGTGAACAAACACCATGACCAAGGTAAGTCTTATAAGGACAACGTATATTTGGGCAGGTTCAGAGGTTCAGTCTATTATCATTAAGGTGGGCACATGGCAGCATCTAGGCAGGCATCGTACAGGAGGGAGCTGAGAGTTCTACATTTTCATCTGAAGGCTGCTAGAAGACTGACTTCCAGGCAGCTAGGGTCTTAAAGCCCACACCCACAGTGACACACTGACTCCAACAGGGCCATACCTCCTAATGGTGCCACTGCCTGGGCCGAACATAGAGAAACCATCACACCACATTTTGTCTTAACTTTCTTAATTCAAGCAGAAACCCAACACTAAAATTATTAATTGTAAAAATTTCACATGCTTGGAGTTTTTAGTGTGGTATTCAAACTGTATCAGGTGAATATTTATAATGAGGAAAACAATTAGTTACTTAAAGGACAAGAATGATTCTAACCTGCTGGTCAGAAAGCGAAAGCTGGTCCTCTGGAAAGCTCGACTGTGGCAGTAGGTGGGTTCTGAAGGTGGAGCTGTGGTTCACTAAGGTCACCTCCCCAGCGTCCATCTTCACCCCGTCAGCTGTGTCATCTAGGGGAAGAGTCAGATTAGAGCAAGACACAGTCCTTCAACAACATTTTCCTATGAGACAATCTTTTCGCATAAACAATTGTTCTCAACGAAGAATGATACAGACATATAAAATTGTTCCTTCATAGCACGTGAAGACACTGGTCCATTCAGAATTGACTGAGATCATCTAACAAGCAGCTCAAAACCTACACAAGAATAAAAAACCAACCTGATTTATAGTTTGTTTTTAAAATAATGAAATTTCCCCCAAAGAGAACTTTTAATGTCTTAAGTACAAGAAATTTAATATTTAAAAAAAAAAAAAGGATGTTGAGTACACAGGCATGCTCTAGAGGAGGAAGAGGCAGCTACTGGAAAGGTAAAGGTAGAATTCTGGTCATCTGACCCATGAGTTTGGAATCAGCACAGATAACATGGAAGCCTATTACTTAAAGAAGGGAAGGAGAGGGTTACACCACCAAGCAGGAACACAATCTTAAAAGCAGAAAACTTTGGTTTATTTTCTATCTTAACACAAAAAAAAGTGCTTTCAAGTTTAACCCAGGAGTTGGGGAGATGGCTCAATGGGTACGAGTGCTTCTTGTACAAGGACAAGAAGCTCAGTCTGCATCCCTGGCACCCACATGAAAGACTGAACCTGGCTGTGTTTGCCTGTAACCCCAGCATGAGGAGTAGAGACAGGCAGATCCTGGGAGTCTGCTGACCAGACTGCTAACCTGGCAAAAACAGTAAGCTTCCAATTCAGTGGAAGTCCCTGTCTTAAAGAAATAAGGTAGACAGGATATTCAAAATCTTCTTTGGGCCTGTACACACATTCCCACAGGCAAGTATACTTGCACATGTGTATGCACCCTCTCCCCAAATACCAACCATAATTTAAAAACAAAAACAAAGAAAACCTTAATTCATTGGATCTTTTTTCAGTAAAACTGTAAGAATTTATTTGTATTGCTCTTAGAGTCCTTTCAGTGACTATACTACCATGGCAGACTCTTACTTTAGAAACATTTTACCGTAATGCAGAGTTAAGAGAACTCAAGTGACTCACACTGACGACAGCACTGAGAAAAGGGGAAGACATGAGGAGGAAAGGGAGAGAGTGCATCACGGTGGCGCAGCAGGGTGAGGTGTAAACAGTAGACAAAAGGCTAAGGGCAACTGAAAAGAACCATGGACAGCAGTCTTCCTGTTTAGCCATACAATTTACTCCTAAACTGGCTGCTATTCCTGCCTCTACACTGCTCCTTTACAGATACACACCCCCACCCCTGTGAATCAAACAGTGGGAAATGTTCCAATTGTAAAGTTTTATTATCACTAGCTACAGAAACAAAACACTACCTTACTCAAATTATCTATCGTACAGGAGGCAGTGCGACCCAGTACTAAAGAACAGAGAGCTGAGCTCTGCTGCATAGAGGATATGACTCCCAGCAGGTTTCCTAACCTGTATCTCACTTTCCCTGTTGGTACAATACTGTGGATTGTGTATATTTTGTACATACTAGGTATTTTTGGAAGATGTCTGAAACAATAAAATGAATATACATACACATACATATATATGTATATATCATATCTATTACTTAGAACAGATACATAATAAGCAAAACAAGTACTGCCAGTGTGCTTTTGTTTTTTTTATACAATGAATAAGAAAATGATCTTAAATAATTTTGCAAATAAGGTATTAACCAAAGTAAAATAATACTGAGTATACAGGAATATTTAATTAGGACTAAGATCTTATAATATTATTTCTATGCACAAAGACACAAACAGGACAAAAACTGGGCATACATTCTTTCTCTTCACCTAACTGTGTAAAAGGATGGAGTGACTAATTTAGTCTTACCCATTTCAGGTCTTTTCACATCACTGACTTTAGTAAAGACACAAAATCCTATAAAAGAAGACACAAAACATAAATATTACACAGTGAGCATCTAGTTCAAGTATTCTATAACAGGGACAGAAGTGATGTTTATGTCCTTAGTGGAGGAAAATGGTGAAGGCTACTGACTTGTTTAGAAAGTTAAAAAATCAAACTGACCTGAGGTACTTCCAAACACTGCTGCAAACTATACTGGACTCAATGGCAGCTGCAGGTAACCCAGAGAATCACAGATCATCAAAGCAAGAATCAAGTAGAGTAAGCCAACCCACAGGAGACTCAATCAAGTGCATATAAATCACAGTGACTTCGATGAAATCACAGCTAGGAATTCTCCCCAATCCACGAAGTTTTCTATTACCTCATCCTAAATCATTTTTTCTAAGCAAGTGACCCCAAGATTTCTCTTCCATAAACTTTATACAGTTGACAAACAAAATCCCACCAATTTATTAAGTATAAATCACAGAACATTCTCAGTTGTACAAAGCACTCCCCCACCCAACATTATCCAGCAACCTGCTGGAAAGGGCTGGAATACAGCTCCCTTGTATAGCATGTACAAGGTCCTTTATTCAATCAATCCTTAGTGCCAAAGCAAGCAACCAAACCAAATCAAACCTGCTTAAACCAAGGCTTTATCGATTTATCTGCATACAAGTTCCCCTCATGTAGGATATATGTTCCAAGGTTTCCAGTACATGTCTGAAACTACAAGTATGCTGAATTATACACACAGGCACATTTCCTATACATACATACATACATATAAATATGTATATGTAACGGCCCATTCTGCTGCTCCGGTCCACAGGTCAGGGCCTAGCAAGAGATAGAGTGGGGACGGAGACGAGAGGAATGGAGACAGAGTCAGCTGCTCTGGTCTCTCCTCAAGTCTCGCCTTGAGTCTCTCAAGTGCTGGGATTAAAGGTGTGTGCCACCACTGCCTGGCCTTGATTGAAAGGAAATCATGGGTATATCAAGATAATTATCAGAGTGTGCTCAGCTGTTGTGGGCTGTTGAAAACAAGTCTCTTGTCAGGGTATATGGCTCAAGATGGCTGCAAAGATGATAGCCGCTTTCAGCTCAGAGTCGGCTCCCAACATGTATATTTATGAAAGTCTAATTTGTAAATTAGAACAAGAGATTAACAACACTAGTAAAAACAGAATGTCTTAGTTAGGGTCTTACTGCTGTGAACAGACATCAAGACCAAGGTAAGTCTTATGATGACAACATATATTTGGGGCTGGCTTACAGGTTCAGAGGTTCAGTCCACTATCATCAAAGTGGGAGCATCTAGGCAGGCACGGTGCAGGGGGAGCTGAGAGTTCTAGGTCTTGATCTGAAGGCTGCTAGTGAAAGACTGACTTCCAGACAGCTAGGGTCTTAAAGCCCACACCCACAGTGACACACCTACTCCAACAGAGCTTTCTAATAGTGCCACTCCCTGGGCTGAGCAGATACAAACCACCACATTCCACTCCCTGGCTCCCATAGGCTTATTCAAACATGAATCTATGGGGGGCCATAACTAAGCATAGCATAATGCAAAATACGTTTAGTCCAACTTCCAAAGTCCCCATAGTCTATAGCAGTCCCAACAATGTTAAAAGTCCAAAGTTCAGGGTCTCTTCTGAGATTCATCCAATGACTTTACTTTAATCCCCAAAGCAAGACCAAAAACCAGCTGAGTGAACCCTAAACTCTGCAACTCCATGTCCAGTGTCAAAGCAGTCTTCAGATCTCCAACTCCTTTCCCATCTTTGTTGACTGCAACAAACTTCTTTCTCCTGGGCTGGTTCCCCTTCCTGTTAACAGCTTTCCTCAGTAGATAATCCTACAGCTCTGGCATCTCAAATATCTTGGGGTCTCCAAGGCAACTTCAATGTAACAGCTTCTTGTTTGAATGTCTGGAATCCACATATGATCTTCTGGGCTTCTCCAAAGGGTTGACATCACTTCTCCAGCTCTGCCCTCTGTAGCACTCTAAGCTCAGGCTGATCCACTCCACTGTCGCTGCTGTTCTTGGTGGTCGTCCCATGGTACTGGCATCTCCAAAACACTGCTGTCTTACGCTCTAACTCTCAACTCTTTTGCATGACCCTTTCAGTCCTGGGCAGTCAACTACAACTGAGGCTTCATCTATACCAGTGGTCTTCCATGGCCTCTCACAGTACCAAGCCTCAGCTGCTCTTCATGACCCCTTCATGCCTCCAAAACCACCTGGGCGACTCTTACACATTACCAAGTACAGCTGCAGCATGAGGTGCAACCTTGGCTATCTCTGGAACATGGCTTCTTTGTGCTCTCAGAAAACACTTCCCAGAAGATTTCACCTCAGTGATGCTGGTTTCTTCTTAATCACCACTCATTTCTTAGCTCCAGCTAACCATCTAATTGTACCAGTAATCCCTTCTATTCTGGACTCTAAGGCCAGAGCCACATGGCCCAAGCTGCAGAGTTCTGCTGCTTGCAGGAGCTGGAACATGATGGATTACATTATCACAAGATTTCTGTTTTCCAACTCCTTCACTGTCTAAGCTTGGCTGTCCTGGATCTTGCTCTGTAGGTTGACCTTGAACTCAGATCTGCATGCCTATCTCCTGGGATTAAAAAAGTGTGTGCCTAGAATTTTTCATTTACTTTCTAAACAAACTTGATGTAACAGAAACTGGAGAAACTGAATTTCCCCAGAGAAGGGTTGGGAGTAGTCAAAACTCTACTTACAACGACTTAATTGGCATAACCGTGGACACCCACTTTTATCAACCTAATCAAATCCACAGCCATTCTGAATCCTCAAAGTATTCAAGAAGACCATGTGATGCCAACAGACATTCTTAATAGTCACAAGAATAAGAGTGAGCAGAGTGGGGCTGGAGAGATGGCTCAGGAGTTAAGAGCACTGAGCATTGTCTGCTCTTCCAGACGTCCTGAGTTCAATTCCCAGCAACCACATGGTGGCTCACAACCACCTGTAATGGGATCTGATGTCCTCTTCTGGTGTGTCTGAAGACAGCTACAGTGTACTCACATACAATAAAATAAATAAATCTTAGAGAAAAAAAAAAAGAGAGAAACTCTGTCTTGAAAAAAAAAGTACTTTAAAAATAAATAAATAAATCTTAAAAAAAAAAAAAAAAAGAGTGAGCAGAGTAACCAGCCTTGTCAAGAAGGATCCCCAAAGGTTTAAGCCTTAGATTAAGGACCAAATACATTTCTAAGCTTGTATCTAGAATTTCTCCAAGCTATTCTTCCCCTTTCTTCCTTAATGGGGTAGAATTTTTTTTTTTGACTTCTTTATGTGTCTGAGTATTCTGACCAAACGTGTGTGTGTGTGTGTGTGTGTGTGTGTGTGTGTGTGCGCGCGCACCATGTGCACCTGCCTAGTGCTTGTGAAGGTTTAAAGAGGGCTTCAGAGTCCCTGGCACTGAATTAACTGAGAATAATCCCACCTCATTTCTTTTTCATTTTAGAGACGAGAAGGAGGAAACAAGCTAGAAATTCAATAATTCAAAATGCTAACTGACTTGCAAAAATCACACTGATGGGGGCAAAAGGAAGGACCCAGGAGTCCCTCAGCAAGTGCACACTCAAACTTAGCACAGCTTCACGTCCCTCAAACATCTTCATTCAAAGGTTCACCTGGGCAATTGAAAAATAACCTTTCCAACTAGCTTTGAGTGATCTATCCTGGCTCATATATGTAAATAATCAAAGCTTCATACTTATACCTTTTTACAAATACATCTTGCTTCTAGTACCTTCTTTGGCAATTATGTTGGAAGAAGGGATTTTTAAAACAACAACAAAATCAAGATTCTAAATGAGTCCCAAATAAGGAGCCTTAGATGTCATCAAATTCGAGCACGGACGATAGACTTTGTTTGTTTGTTTTTTGTTTTTTCGAGACAGGGTTTCTCTGTGTAGCCCTGGCTGTCCTGGAACTCACTCTGTAGACCAGGCTGTCCTCGAACTCAGAAATCCGCCTGCCTCTGCCTCCCAAGTGCTGGGATTAAAAGTTTGTGCCACCACTGCCCGGCTTTTTTTTTTTTTTTTTTTTTTTTTTTAAGATTTATTTATTTATTTTATGTATTGAGTACACTGTAGCTGTCTTCAGACAGACCAGAAGAGGGCAACAGACTCCATTACAGATGGCTGTGAGCCACCACGTGTTTGCTGGGAATTGAACTCAGGACCTCTGGAAAAGCAGTCAGTGCTCTTAACCACTGAGCCATCTCTCCAGCCCGACAGTTTTTTATCTTAAGACAATCTTTCTTGCTGGGTGATGGTAGAGTCACACATCTTTAATCCTAGCATGTGGGAGGCAAAGGTAGGAGGGTCTCTTGTGAGTTTGAGGTCAGCCTGTTCTACAGAGTGAGTTTCAGGATGACCAAGGTTACACAGAGAAACCCTGTCTCAAAAAAAAAAAAAAAAACAACACACACACATATATCATTTTAATAATTCACAGAATGAAGCTAAGCAGCTACTTATTAATGTGAATTAAGTTAGCAGCTGAACACCAAGTGAAAGGAAAATCTGGGGGAGACGTAAGCATGTGAATAACCCTACTCTGTGTTTTGGAAAACAATTACAGCTATGACACAGTTTACACTTCCTCATCATCTGTCCAGGTCCCCAACCATAGTATTTTCATGTGTACTCTCTCCCCCAGAAAGAGTAAAATTAATACGTTAAGCACCTTAGTATTTTACACCTTTAAACAGCAGTTAACTTCTTACACACATACACTAAGTGTGGGGTTCTGGAATATAAATAGAAGTTTTCAGGCTAGGCGAAGAAGCCAGATCTAGTCACACAGACAGCAAAACTAGTATGACTGGTAGGGGAAAGAAAAGCCAGTGGAAGAAAAAAATTACATCACCTTAGCCACAAGTGGTAGAACCTGTTTGTATCCTCATCCACTCCTCCTCCAGACTTAATTCATCTGATGAATGATAGGCTACCCACTTTTGCAGGTTGGATAATTAACTGAAATCAGGGAATGAAACTCTTTCTAAGGGACTGGGGGACAGGCAGTCGAACTGGAGGGTTCAGGTTATTATTACAGGTGTCACTGTAACCTCAAAGGCAGTAATCCACATTTCAGCAAGAGTCCTAAATAAAAATGACCTTTATGAAGAATACTTATACATGTTCTACTTCATCCAGAATTTCCTATTACAACGAAAAATCCTACAGCAAATAGTTGATAGACTATAAAAGGACTATACACATTTTTACAAGAATCACCACCACTCCAAATACAATAAGTATGTCACATGAACTAAGAAATTTTAACAAGTGTGACTTAAAAGTGATAAAGGAGCAAGTTATTGCCAACAAGATAACAGAAAAACTGTAGAGGTACTGATAAACCAGAAATCACCAAGCTCAAGACAAGGGAAACCCAGCACATAGCCAGAAAGATCACGTTAGGGTATACGAAGAAAAAGTTTAAGGCAATTACCAAGAGGCGATGAGCCAGGTAAGAAAACTGTGGCAGTTAAGGGGGTTTTCATAACCTGTGCAGAAGGGTCCAGACGTTTCTCTCTGGTGGTGGCTCTAGCGATATCACATCCCAGGGAAATACCACAGGATAAAAGAGTTGGAGAATTGTTTACGTGGGACACAGTAGCCGAGAAGTAGCATTCAGGTTTCAAAGAAGAAGAGAGGTGAAGCAGGTGGGAGCGAAAGCTGAACTTCCTCGTTGAAAACAGCTCTCCCTCCAGAGAACCCTGCTCTGGCGGGAAACTCCCGGAATCCCAACCGGCCTTTTCTCTTTGGAAAAGTAGAGTTGGGCGCAGAGAAGGCCCTGCTGTGACCGCAGGGAGATGGGCTCTTCGGGGGTCAGGAGACGGAGGCCTGAAAGGGCGGCCTCAGTAAGCCCAACTACCAGACCCGGGCCAGACAGCCGCCACCGGACAGCAGGGGGGAATGGAGGTGGTCCCAAGGGGCGGGGTGGAAGAAAGGGCACGGTCCCCACCGCGGTCCTCTCTTCCGCTCAGCCCAGCGGAGGCCAGCGGGCCCGGTCCGACACAGCCTCCCGGCCCAGTCTCCCTCCATCCTCACCCCTCCCCCAGTTTCCCGCCGCCACTCACCGAACCGGAACCGGCTGCTAGGCAAAGGGGTTTCCGGCCGGGCGCGGACCGCAAAGCCCGGGAACCTCCGTGAACCGGAACCGTCTTTACAGTACCGGAAGACCGTTTGGCGGGCGCAGAGGAGGAAAAGGGGTGGGGCAAGAGGTCAAAGAGCGAGCTACGGGCTCGTGGAACGCCTGCGCGAGGTGGCGAGGCCTGAGAAGCGGAGGGAGCGTTTGACTCTAGTCGCACTCTCCCTGTCACCCTGTCAGACTGGGGTTTTTCTCTTCGTCGCACTTGGAGTACTGTTAGTGCGCCTGCCGTCCTTTCGTTTTTTCTGTCCCTCGGCTCCTTGACCCCGCTGTCTTCTGGTTCCGTTCGTTGACTGTTTTTTGGCTTACACGCATGTTTCCATGGCAGCTGTTCGCCGTGGCCCTAGATGTTTGGACACCTGCGCCTTCCCTGACAAATGAGGATTTGAGATTTAAATTGATTTCTAACTATATCTTCTGAAAATTAGTGTGCATCTTGTCCTGCTTGATTGATCACAGGAAGTGGGGTTAGAGGAAAGAGCAGACTAAGAGAAACTTTGGGAAACTCTTAACAACATGCCGGACCATATATATACTGGAATAATTTAAAACAGTGATCTCTAATGGGGTTCATCAGAGGTCTTAAACATGTAGTCAATGCCAGACATTTTAAGACAGAATAATAGAGGAAAAATCAGCTTGCTGATTCAAATTATTTACTGCCCTTCTTAATTTAGTACGCATCTAGCCCAGACCCTATTTAGAAGCTTTGGAAAGGTATGTCAGAATGTCAGAATAGTATTCTAGATCCAGTTGACTGCCTGTCTGAATGCAGTCTTGAAGTAGGGAAAGCCTCTGGAATCTACCAGCCTTTTCCATACTCTAAGCATAAGGAAGTAAACTTGTTAGTTCAGGGGATCCTGACTCGTTATGTATATAAAAGATTATTCATATCATAACCTTATATGTTGACATTATTATATGGCCAAGTCCTAAAACCAAGTATACCTAGACCATGTCGACCTTTGACACTTTAAATAGTCTATGGATGTATTTATTTGGATTAAACTCTCTTTATTTCTAGGAAATAGCCATGCATAATGACGAATTTCATCTGAGATTTTTCATGTGCGTGTTTGAGTCTCGACGAGTAGTCAGGACTACTCAGAGAACAGGTACCATTGACTGTGTTATAATGACAAGGGATGAGTTCTCTCAAAGCTACAGGATGAAAGCTTCTGGCATCATTATAGACTTAGGGATCAGCAGACTTGTTTATATTCCTAGTTGGAAAAAATATTTGTCGCCACGTTGTGTGTTTTCTTTGTACAAGTATAAAGAAGATGCTATCCTTGTCCCAGACAAATAAGAAAGACTTGGGGGCTGAGAACAAGAAATATGGAACGTGGGATCGGTGTTGATTTCTATTTAATTTATAGATTATTCTAATTTATCTGGGCTCACTTGTGGGAGTCCTGGTTGTTACTCAGTGGGCACCCCCAAACATGTAAGTCAGGCCCTGAAGAAAACTTCCCTCTACTCTTTTCTAACCGGTAGTGATGGGCTCTGCTTTGCTTCTGTTTTTACTAAAGGAATAGAATCTTTTGGAGGTAGTAAACTAGTTACTGAGGACAATCACTGTTTCTCTTCATCACTGTATTTATGCTAAAGAAGTTTAGAATAGCTAAGGCTCTCAGGGAAAGTAAAAGAGTAAAGGAGCACCCCCTCCCTGGTTCCCACTCTGAGGGTGACCTAGTCATTGTCTCGCTTCCCAGCGGGGGAAGCTTCAACTCCCAACACCATACCGAAGCTACAGTCAGAGGCAGATTCCTTGAAGAAACTAGAAAGTTTGGATGATGCAGACACCGAGGGACATATTCTTGAAACCGGTGAGGCGTGTGAGTAAACAGTGGGGACAGTGGGGATCGGCGGGGAAGGAAGCGTCAAAGAGCAAGAGGTTTGTTCACAGCATTCTGATTACTGTAGGCCAAGGTTTACACATGAGACACAAAGGAGAAAATGTGTATGGGGAAAGGGAGAGACGGGGGGGGGGGGAGGGGCTGTAGGGGGGAAGAATAGTTCTTTTGTATGAACAATACTTGATTCCATTTACTCAATATTTATATTTGTTTTCTGTTGCTGTAACAAAATAACCCAATGCAGAGTAATGTATAGAATGAAATTTTATTCACAGTTTAGGAAACTGGAAGCCCAAGCATAGGCAGCTCCTTTCGTTTGGCCTCTGCTTAGGATTCCCTTGGTTGAACCACAGCACAGCAAGAATATTAGCAAGAAGGAGGGACCAAATGGTGAAACAGCAAGCCAGGTGTCGGGGAGGAGCCAGTCTATTTCATAACAGCCTTCTTTAACAAGAACTAACTGGGGTCCACGGGACCTCATTAACCCCTGCCTAGGCCGTTACCTCCCACCAGACTCCACGCTCAAGGTCTCACCTGTTCCCAACAGTGCTGCCCTGAATGCCCTGCTTTCAACACAAGACATTTTGAAAGACACACACACATGGTTTCGGAGCCATAGCCATGCTAACTCGCTTTCCTCCCTCGTTACTCTAAGCTATTTCAGTCTGGCTTCTGTATTGTTAGTAAACTTATATAGAAAAATTCGAAACTCCCACCAATGGATTAAATTAAAGCATTATCATGTTACAAGATTATTCCAAAGACTAGAAAATTTACCCTTGGAAAAATTTAATAACAGGTTCCTCTTGTATAATTTAATAATGGTTCAACTCACCAATACTTTAAACTTTAGAAACACATCTATATGTCTCTTCTCAACTTAAATGCATCGGTGTTGGAGCCAGTTCACTAACAGTACTTCTATAGTTCCCACTGTGTGCCAGTGACATAGTAGAAATAATATATAAATAATATAAATATATATATACACATACATACACACATATATATGTATATATATACACATATATATGTGTGTATACACACACACACACACACACAC